TTACTATTTATTTCACAACGTCCTCTTGTATACATAGTACTAGCTATCGCGCGCAGTTTCGTCTGCATCGCATTTTCACCGTTTTCACAATATTTTAAATCGCAGCTCCGCTCCTATTTTTCGTAACGTGATGTTATATAGCCTTTAATAATGAATGGGCTATCCAACACTAAAAAATGTTTTTAAAATCGAATACCGGAAATTACCCCAAACATCCAAACTTTAACTACCTTTTTTTATACTACGATGGTTGCATAGCCTATGGACACCTGAAACACAATGTAATGTAATGTGGACTCTACTTATTCTCTGCATTTAGCCCGTTGCGCTAGTAGAGCTGATGCTACTATAGCCAGCTAACTAAAATAGCCAGTCAAGCTCCTCCCAGAACCGCAGAAGCCTCCTAGTGTCTTCACAGGTTTCACAGAGCGGCCTCACCATTCCGAGGATTTGTGGCCATTGCAAGCACTCCATGCATATGCATATATAACATATGCATGGAGTTCTTGCAACGCATATATAACATGCGCGGCCGTTTCTTCGGCTTCAGAGCAGCCCCGACAAAGGATTATCTGTAGCAGATATTGTGTACAAGTGTTTGTTTAAGGGACAGTGGCCCGTTATTGTCCCTATCATTATGTTTATGATATACTAATATTATAAATAGGTAAAGTTTGTATCATATTCATTACAAACATTATGTAACTATAACGCTAGACTGGGCGTAACATTAGACGACCCAAGATATGGATGACTGTGCGTATTCGTAATAGATTGGAAACGTGTTTGGAGAATAGAATAAAGATGCTTTTTGCCTAAGTAATCACAAATATTCCTACAGTATATATCTACACATCTATAGATATAAATAAAATTGGAGTGCCTGTCTGTAATATTGAAATAGCCGTTTTTTACTACTTGCATTTGATTATAAGTATGGTACATACACCAAAATTTTTTACAATTTTTGTCTGTCTGTTTGTCCCGGCTAATCTTTGAAATGGCTGGACCGATTTTGACGAGACGAGACTTAGGCTGTCTTTATTTTAGAAAAATTAAATTAAATTCCACGCAGACGAACTCGCGTGTACATCTAATATAATATATAGTTCTACTAGGGACACAGAGGAAATAGGACAATACAGATAATACACGATAAAGTTTTCAGACAGCACTGAATCTGAAAAATGTAGTCGTCGCATAGAAATGGGTTTATTATGAAAACTAACGAATACAATACTTATTATCAATCTTACTAATATTGTAAATGCGAAAGTTTGTGTGGATGGATGGATGTTTGTTACTCTTTCGCGCAAAAAACAACTAAACGCATTTTGAAGAAACTTTACAGTAATATAGTTCATACATCAGAATAACACATAGACTATAAATTTCATGGAGGTAAAACCGCGGGTACAGCTATTTGAGTTATAAAATGTTGATTTTTATATTATTTCCGTATTTTTTTTTTCATTAATAAAAATGGATAGTTTACATGCATTAAATATAATGTGACCAATGTTAGTTCAGATTAAATCAGTGCTCAATGTTTATGTCTCTATATAATAATTTACTCTATTTTCTCTTTAAATACCGAAATATAGGTACCTACATATAGATGTAGGGGTTAGTATTAAGGGTATGTATTATTATTATTGAATCCTACGGCAGGGGTGGTTTGGTGTTTTACATGTTTTTCTTACTGAATTATTAATCAGAAGTATAAATTAACAACAAAGTTTTTTCTGCCCAATTTGAACTTACGACCTTTGGATGTAAGTCGGAATAGTGAACAAATCGAATAAAAACATGTATTCACAACATTATCAAGTAAATTGCAATAATACCAATTACGTTACGTTACGTTTATGAGTAATTATGTAATTAATTGTTGTTATTATCCTTCTTGCTCTATGTTTTGATATTGTATAAACAATACAATAAAAGATTCTTATTCATCAAAACAAAGTCGATTTGTGTATATATGTACTTGATACATTTTTGTTAAATCACGACTTTTTCGGATATACAGCTATGATAAAATCATTAGATACGAAATATGTAATGATAAAGTATAGCTGTGTATACGAACTTACGAAGCCAGTAGTAATTTACTCATACAAAAAAATATCAAAAACTATCAACTAAAAATCTACCTAAGTTTTAAGTAAAATATAATTTACTCAAATAAAAAAAAACAAAAAAGAAAGTATAACTAAAAATCTAGCTAAGCAAAAATATTATAATTTATTAATAATATTAACTCTGTACGATTCACAGAGCGCCATCTAGTCGCAAGCTAAACAGACCTTGTAATATGGGTACTAGAAAACGGATGAAAACTTTTTGTTTTGATATACACACAATACATAAAAAGCACCGGAATCCAATACAAAAAATCATACTCAAGAAATGTTTGCACCGTACGAGGAATTGAACTCGCGATCATTAGAAGTAGGGCGATGTGCTAAACCGCTAGACCTATTCGTGATTTTTTTTATTATGAAATGACGTTATTTTTTTTTTTGTTAGCTTGCATGAGCATTAGAAAATAATATTCCTATTTCCATCTCTATATTTTATAGAGGTGATAAACAACTTCATGTATATCTTTAAAATCTTATGATTGTTATACTTTTCAATCTTAAGTTACATCCTATATAAGATGTCTCCAGTCACCCTCCGTCTATTCGTAAATAATGCATCGCCACAATAAAATATTCCACGTACATGAACACAAATAACACCGTCCTGTGATTAACAATCAATCTTTTGTTTTATTCAACAGCTGTGCCCACACTATGAATAAATAACGACCTATCCAACTTAGAATTGTTTGGGATTTACGCCTTTTTTCATTTCAACGACTTGTAAACAGCATCACTTGTTTTCATATTCGAAATTTAAAATTTATTCTTATTTTTTTAGAGAATCTATTTTTAAATCGAGTTCCTTGCCAGTGTTTATTAGACGAAAATACTTTTTGAAATCGCGGTAGATTTCATATATCACAAAAGTTTGTATTAAATTTTGTTGTTGATATTTGTCTGTATGTCTGTTTGTTCATATATTTAACCCAAACTACTCGATGCCTTTTAATTTGGTTTCTTTACTATAATTTAAACTATATTCTTTTCAGAATACTAATTTATAACTATTTTGTTGTGAGTGTGAGCCTACAAAACATAGATAAAATACCGTCATAAAGTTTTGACCTCACAAAATATAATTATCGTCGCGAGTGTCAACATCCTTCGTATATCAAAGGTCAAAGAATTATTATTTTTATCAGTGAAACGTAGTTTGAAGCATAACAGCTATATTTTAGTCCGTCGGCCCCATCCGACTTGATTAAAAATATACACACAAACATATACACGATTATCCTATATCTTTAATAATATAGAACATGTAGCTTTACAGTGGAAATAGCTAATAACAGTCCTGTAGCACCTGAGTAAACTCTAACAATAAAATTTAAATTAAGTGTTTTTAAATAGTTGCCTCTTAGTGTTTCCTTATATTTTTTTAAGAATGATATTGGAAGCGTACACCCGCCTGCGCTAATGGTCTACGCTGGCGGGGCGCCAGTGGAGGATAATATGATGAATATGTGGTCAGGTCAGTTAGCCCATTGTGGCAAATTCACCAGGAATTTATCACGATGGTTTCCAGGGGAAATCGTGTGAAGTACACACTAGTCCACATAGTAATATGGACTAGTGAACCGAATACTTATGAGTAAATAATCTTCTTCCCCCCCCCCCCCTGTTTCCTTACATTACTTTTCAAAAAAACACTCACCAATGTAACAAAATGTTGGTGTAGGTAACATATGCATTATATATACGGCCACAGAACAGTAGTATCCAATAATTTAATGGACTTTCCAATAGACAATTTTGCAGTCGGTAAACCACAAACACACATTATAGTGATGTGTTCGTTCTATACAGAAACAAAATAATGAATGGTGCCGTAAATGGCACTAGACAGCGACCGCAAGTCGTCTGGTTCAAGCTTAAAAATATCCTAAGATTTTAGTACTGCAATATGAAATTCTAAATTTTCTTTAAGAAATTTTATACATTGTTTTTCTTTTCTTCTGCTCTACTGTTCGATTTTGATCAATGGTACTACAGCGACTGCAAGTCGTTTGGTTTATGTTCAATTAAGTTATATCTTAAGGTTTTAGTATTGAACTGTGATATTGTAAACTTTCTTTAAGAAATTTTATACATTCTTTTCTGTTTTCTTCTGCTCTACTGTTGGATTGAAATTTTTAAACGTGTGCTAAAAATATTTGCACGTGTTTAGTATCATATTGTTATTATATTGACAGTTTTTATCATATTTTATTTAACCACATTTTGTCGTGTATTTTGTTAGTTTAGATTTTAATGTTAGGGTCACTCACACTCACACTTACAGTATTTCCACTGTAAAGCAACATGGTATGTATTGTTATTCTTCTTCCTCTTAGTTCTGTCCCACTAAATGCGGGGTCGGTTCTCCAAATTTTGCGGCTCCAACAAAAAATGAAACAGAGCCTTTGAGCCGTGTAAAATTCCATGGTTAAATATAGATTTCTGGAAAACTGGTGCCTGTACTAGGTATCTGAAGAACCTGTGTCACGGGTCACCAGGCCCCTCCACTAGAACTTATGTGTTAAGATTTATATGCACAATGATATGGCTACTATATACTACTATATAGATATATATAAATAAATGTTCTGTTTGTCCATAGAGGATATATATAAATACTATTATGATATTAGTGTTCTGTGGTTAATAACATCTAAATATATAAAGGAATATATGAATAAATGTCATTCTATTTCTCCATAGAGTGTGGCGGGTTTAGTGAGAGTGAGAGCGCGCGAAACCATTTTTAGACTACTACTTTTTAGACTAGACTATTACCATTACTAAATATTAGTGTTTTTGTGGTTAATAACACCTAAATATATGAATAAATATGATTCTGTTTGTCCACAGAGGGTGGCGGGTAAAGCAAGAGAGCGCGCGGCGCGGTGGTGCAGCGCGCGCGACAGGTGACGGACGGTTTGCGCGGCTCATGTGGGCGGCGGGCGCTTGCTGCTCGCGGCAGGCAGGTCTGTACTTCTACATACATATTTTATATATGTACTAGCTATCCCGTCCAATTTAAACGGGGAACGAAATTACGACGGCCTGAGCCGAGGTTCGATCCAATAGCGGTCGTATCTGTCAGGTGGGAGTTGGCTTTCAGCCGCTCCATAAGTTCTTCCGCGGCTTTGGAATGCTATCTGCACTCGCCCCCTATCGTCCGGTGAAGCTGTAAAGGCCAGCTGCGGCCAATAGCATTAGAGTAGTCCAAAAAAAACTAGATGTCCAGGCAAATGTTGTTTTGCAATATAAATTAAAGCACTAATATCTCTGAAAATTGATATAAGGGTGAAAATTGAGGGTGGTATATACTTTTAATGCCACATTATAAAAAAAATTGTTTAATCCAATAAATTTAAAAAAATGTCAGGACTGAACAACCCTTATCACTTAGGGTATGAAAAATAAATAGTAGTCCATTCTCAGACCTATTGAATATGTATATAAAATTTCATAAAATCGGTCAAGCTGTTTCGGAGGAGTATGGTAACTAACATTGTGACATGACAATTTTATACTCGTATAGATTTATAATATTATTAAGATAAGATTATTTTAATAATATTAAAACGCTAAAGTTTGTGAGCATGAATGTTTGTTACTATTTCACGCAAAAACTACTCAACAGATTTTGATGAAACTTTACAATAATATTATATAATAGCTTATGCATCAGAATAACACGTAGGCTATATTTTATATTGAAAATTAACGCGGGCGAACCCGCGGGCACAGCTATACAAGGCATTATTACTAAAAAAAACAAGACAGGTAGAAAATTACACACATATAGGCTTAATTACAAGTAGTATGCAATAATACAAATTATTTAAACCTGTAGGATACAATATGTGTAAATTTGCATGTGTGTGCTATAGCAATACAAAATGGCTCATAGCTCAGAGGAGAATCACTCAAGGAGCAAAAACTGATTTTCAGCTAAGTCCTAGTGAAAGTGCTATTTAAAAATAAAATAAAAACCTAACAAAACAATATGAAATAAATAAATAATAAAGGAACTTGAGTGTCTAACCTTTAAAGTACTTTGTAGTAACTTTAAAAGAAAAGATACTCATATTATTAAGTATTGTAATTTGTAATTCTGTATTAAACATCGAAATACCAGCAATACGCAAGCTGAAGCAATTGTAATTGCTAGGTATTATGTTAATCTAAGCAATCAAAGACGGAATCCAACTGAATGCAACCAAAGGGAAAACGAAAAACCTTTTCAATTGCCCAATAATACATCCACATTGCCTTGAAGGCTGTTTAACACGTGGATAACAACAAGGTCGTTCACTTAACACGCTTGTGGACACAGGGGGCAGGGATCGCTAAGTTCGTTGCCATTGCCCATTTACGTAAAGTACCTCATCACCTTGCACCTTAATCTATTCCACTTACCGTTTCTTTCTTTATATTCACCCTTAATAGACTCTAAATATTCATAAATTTCAATTCATTAAAGTTTTAATTGACTACAAATAAGAAACGGCGACCGTCTAAATAATAATCTTTAAACTTCTCCAGAATGAAATTACAGTTTTTCCTTTATTTTAATGCAAAAAGTTTTGAATATCAATTTTGAAAGTCGTAATATCGCATGAGTGCTGGTACTAACGCCCCACGCGCACTATACATAGAAAAACCGCGGTTGAGATTGCTATTCTGCTATTCTTCTCTTAGAAGTATACCGGTTCAAATGTAAAGATAGTTAACGGCCATTCATAAATTACGTCACACATGGAGACACTATGTCACACTTTGTCAACCCCCTTGACAAAGTGTGACAAGGGTGGGAAATCCGCAAACTTTTGTGTCGTCACATATATCTACGTAATAGTAACACACGAATTATTTATTTTATCGAATTAAGTGTTATTTACCAGTCCATTTAATTACTTAATGGATTTATATTAATTTGTTTATTTCTGCTACAATTAGCATGTGTGATAACATATAGCTTGGAAGCCGAACAGTCAACACGTGTCGCAATATGGGTGTAGAGTCAATAACGGAATTTGATCACCACTAGAGAAGGTCGCTTCCAGTAGCGGTGGTCAGGTTTCCGCACTTAATATTTGTAGTCTTACACATGCTAATGATAGCGGAATTAAACAAAATAATATAAATAAATTAAATAATAACACAAACTATTAATTCAATTCATCTACTGTTTTATTAGCGGATTGCAAAATATGTGACGTGACACTAGAGGGGACAGTTGCGCAAACGTGACCAACTGTGACAACGACAGTCGAATAATAATTAAATTAGAGAGACGTTATTTCTGATGGTCCCTAATAGAGAGTTTCGCCAATTAAAATCTCCATCGCGGTTGTCCATAGTGCACTTAGGGCGTCCCCGTCAGCCTGGCAGGGGCTGACGGTGGTGTATGTTGGTAGCTAGCAGGCACTCATGCGTGACGGAGTCACTAACCGTGGCGGGGTGGCAGGCGAGAGCGGCGGCGGAGCCACGGCCGCGCGCACGCCAGTCAAGACCTTCCAGGCGTACCTGCCGCCGGCGCATCGCACCTACAGCTGTATACACTGCCGCGCGCACCTGGCCAGCCATGACGAGCTTATATCCAAGGTGGGATGCCTTCTATTATCTCTGACGCCTTATATTATCTCTGACACCTTATAATATCTCTGACGCTTTCCATTTTACTTCTCAGACCTCTGGAATATATACGTACATAGCGTCATCACAGGTGTCACATGATGCCCATAATGTTCATGTATATAGGCGACGGTTACCGCATGCCATCAGGTGGACCGTCAGCTTAAGATACATATAGAAACACCTTCTACGATATAAGCTAGCCGTATATTTATATGTATATGCTATATATTTAATATTAAAGTTATATTCACATAAAAGTGAATATATTTACTATCTGTTGGCGCCTAAACCACAGAATATACATACGTATAATATAATAAACAAGTTGTTGTTATAAAAATAAAAGATTCATGACCCGTAGTCATGAACCTTTTATTTTTATACAATGATTATACCTATTTTTTATTTACTTTACGCACTAGGTATATAATTGGACAATAATTGAAATGTTTGACGCAGATAAATAATCAGGTTTTAATATTATTATAAATAATAAATGAAATTTGTTTCTTGATTGTTTTAGTATTTATATTATTTATATGTAAATTATGTACCTATGTATTTACAAAAAATGTGTTCTGACTGTTGTCTAGTACCCATAACATAAGCTCTGCTTAAGTTAGGACTAGATGACGCTGTGTTTATTTCCACGGTTATTATTGTTTTTATTAATATGTAAATTTTATTGTTTTTCAGTCGTTTCAAGGCAGCCAGGGGCGCGCGTATCTCTTCAATTCTGTGTGAGTATAGTTTTATATGTACTTGGAATACTACACAAGCTGACGACCTACCTTATAAGAGGCTATTGGCTATAACATAACCAGTACACTAAGAACATAACGTATAATTTCATTGCCATATCACACAAACTGAAACTTAGGTTTGAAAAGAAACGCCTTCTATCTGAATCAGCTTATAAAGCAGATTCCTTGACTGCCTTCAAGAAGTAAGATGTGAGATGAAGGAGAAGGTGTTTTTGTATGAATTGCTTGCGCTATAAATTAAGTTTTATACTTAGGTACACATTATTTTTGTGCATTGAAGTTAAATAAAATAAATATTAATATAAGTAATATATTTATTTCTGTATATGTATATTTTAGATCTATATTTTGGTTTAATGGTAGTAATTAAATGGACTTCCCCAAAATAACACCTAATTCGATAAAATATACTATATTCTACTTTATAAGGAGAGACACATGACGTTTGGTTGTCATATTTTATGTACAGCGATCATTACCTGGCTTTCATCCCATTATTTGGATATGTCACTATATGGTCATACAGTATGTTATACATCAGTCACTATTAGCCATCATATCTGAGCTTAATCTTCGAGCATATCATCATTCTTGTATATTTGTATATACTAGAATATTGAAGTGTCTGTTTATAAGTGAAAGTTTATACTTATACAAAAGTATTAATCAAAATCAAAATATCTATTATATATTCATGTAGGTCTATTACGGTTAGATTTATTTTCACGGGATTTTCACTCGCAGATAAACTAATGGTGTAAGGAGTAAACTAGGCTACTATTACTTTAGAAATTTTATAGATTTTAATAAAAAAAAAAAGTTAAATATTACGCCGACAAAGTTACGGGTAACAATAAAAACAGGTACACTAATATAACTTAATATAAATAATACAACGCCTTAAAAAAATAATTAGTACAACGGCGAACTTAACCCAAAAGGCCTATTATTTCCAGTCCACCAATTATTTAGGTATTTAGATGTTATTCGAGTTGACATAATAAGTAACTAGACAGTACGTACAAAAATAACATACAAAATAATGAGGTTAAATTAGAACCCCTCTTCTAAGAACGACTTAAGTATCTAACCTCAGGGGCGGAGTCTTCAAATATGAGCCATATTTGATTTGACCTTTCAAAACCTTCACCTTGTATTACTGTGTCTTAAATGTCAAACGCTTTGTAAGAATTTCTTTACACGACTCTTTACTTTAATTAGCGGGTGAAACCGCAGGGCATAGCTGTTTGAATATCAAATTTTGTTATTCGCAAGTTTCGTAATAAACTCAATTATATCACTACTTAATGGATATATATTATTTTGTTTAATTCCGTTACAATTAACATTTGTGAGACCACAAATATTCAGTGAGGAAACCTAACTACCGTTACGACTTCAATTTCACGATTCAATTATACGGAAACGAAAACGAAAAGGTTGGAGTCGTGTCATATAAACAATTAGAGAGATTAAAGGAAAATCGTGAGAAATGGCAAGTTCCAGAGACAAATTATGAATGAATAAATAATAACAATATACCTGATAGATGCGCATCTAATAAAATCAAAGAAATTAATACTACAATTTAGCGGTACATACATTTGGTCATCTTTCCCAATGTTAGGTAGGTTGATGTCACACAGCGCTGTATAGTGCCAAGCTAAGCCAGAGCTTGTGTTATGGCTACTAGACAACTGATAGATATACTTAGATACATTTTTTTTGTAAATACATACACAATATACATAGAAAATACCCAGACCAATACAATCAATACTCATGAATACAAATGTTTGTACCGTACGAGAATTCGAACTCGCGTTATATGTGGTTAATTGAACTGCCAAACAAGCTGACTGCTCTGATGGCACTGGCAACCTTAGTCCATTATGCATCAATAACATTACGAACAACACAGTAGTAAGTGCCATACTTGCACTTTTACAACGCCTGAATGTACTACTCAGGCGTTGAAAGGACTAAGATGTCATGCATCTTATCCTGTAATTTCAATGCCTAATCTAGCTCTGCAATCAAATCATAGCTTACAAACTAAACAGCTGAAGCTTGGCAGCTAAAATAGACAGACAAATGTATGCTTACGATTTATTATACATACTACCTTATTACCAATTATAAAGTCTAAATAAGAATGTTATTTTATTTCCAGTGTAAACGTTGGGTGCGGTCCGGCAGAGGAGCGCGTGCTGTTGACGGGGCTCCACGCCGTCGCCGATATATACTGCGAGTGCTGCAAGACCATGCTGGGCTGGAAATATGTAAGCCATTTATAATTAAACTTCAAGCCAGTTATCTCAGTTTGGTGGAGCGGTCGCTGGAGAAGAATTGTTCTAGAGAGAACGTCTACTCCAGCTGCCATTGGTTCCGAAACAAATATGACCAGCCATATGCCACTTCAACTTGCAAAGTCGTAAAGCTATATCGGTGTTCTCTGGCGAATTACTTCGTTTCGGATTTGATCCCTTAGAGAAACTCCAAGCATAGCTCTTTTCATTGTTCTTTGAGCGACTCTGAATTGGTGGACCTGATCACATGTTCACCTTATCATCCTCCACTGGTGCCCAGCGTAAACCGTTAGCACAGACGAGTGAGCACTCGTTTCAATCAATTCATTATAATCTAAAAAAATATGACCACGCACTAAATAAAAAAAGTCTGTTATGTTACGTAGTTAAAATAGAACATAAAAATCCAGTGACTCATATGAACTGGTCGTTACTGTTTTATATTATACTTGTATATTTATATTGTACTTACACGTACACATCAGTATTATATTCGTGAGATTACATTGCCTGATCTTATCTATCTGCCATTTTACGTGTCTAGAATTTTTAATAAACGGAAAAGTCTCGTAAAATGTATATAAATATGGAAAATACAATGACTTCACGTCGATGTAGATTATATTATTTTATTTTAAAAACTCTATGGCTCATAATTTTATATCTTAGTTAAAAAATATGTCTAGAAATAATCTTTATTCTAATGATATGAATTCTATGAATAGTAATTTTTTTTATTCTACCACTAATTCGGAACGCAGTCTCATCACAAGAAGTACGAGGAAGAAACGTTTGTGTCGCTCGTTTAAATAAATGTTACTCTAAGTAACACAATTAAGAAGGATTAGGCATGCACAATCAACATAAACTAGCGTGTTGTTCTTTTAAATAAGTGTGTTTTAGGTAAATACAAATTTGGCAATTATTTAACCTAATTAAAAGATGAATTATATGAGCTTATGTAGTACCACTTATATCATAATGTTTTTGTAGTCCGTGGGACCAGACGGTAAATTCTTAAAAATTGAGGTTATGCTTCCATACCCTTAAAATTTACTACCACATCTCACCCTTTAAACTGGAACATATCTTTACTTAATGGATTTATATTATTTTATTTTATTTCGCTACCATTAACATATGGGACAGATTACGCTTGGAGTCGTCTGGTCGCCGGACAGTCAATACTAAGTTTCCAAGCTATATCTGAGCTATATTATTTGCCTAATGATGTCTTGTTCAGTGGCGAAATATGGGTGTAGATTTAATAACGGTCGTCATTTGATTACTAGAAAGGTCTTGACGCTTCCAGTAGTGGCGGACTGGTTTCCGCACTGAATATTTGTGGTCATACACATGCTAATGGTGGAGGAATTAAATAAAATAATATAAATCCATTAAGTGAGGAAAAGAAATTACTCATAATAAACCTATTTCTATAAAATATATGAAACAAAGCAAGTTTGACGGCAGAAATAAGTATGATAGAAGTACCTACTCAGATGACATTGTACAGTCAACCTCTAGAAAAACACCCTTTGTCTAAAGGCTGTTCTTTGAGCAAAGAACTATGTTATTTGCTTAACATTACTATACTTGAGAACGCATAACCTACAAGTGTAAATTACGCAATATTAATTAAACTCTAATTAGAGAACAGCAATCAGTAATCGGTCGCAGTAATACAATGATTGACCGACCTTACGCCCTCACGACCCTGTCACCTTCTACTCCGTCTCAAATTAAACTCAGTATTTACAGGGATGTAAATAATAGATTATTTACAATAAAAAAATACGATTTAAAGCATTCGGAATATTTGATTGATCCAGATTAATATCCCAATAAGTCGAGTAATTAATAATTGATTTGTTATTCAGTCGACTTTTTCACTGTGGTTTAAAAATTCGAAATTAAGTGGTGACCTAAAATAAGGACCACCCACATCCCACGGTGCCCAAAAATTAGGCATGTGAAATAATAATCGATTACAGAAAAGTCGATTATTAGTTAATTAAACATTACTACCAATTACATAGTGTTAGGTTGACTAGAAAGGATATTTTCTAGAGATAAGTCTTCCTTTGTTCGAATTGTCTGTAAATGATTTTATGATTGCGAATTCTAGGTGCAATAATATATATGTATATATATTACGGTAAGCGTAATTCTCAAGTTTCTCGATTCCATCTAGTACCCACCAAGGTACGAGATAATATTAAAAAACAAAAACATTAAGCGTAAATTAAAAGCAATTCTTTTACATAATATTAAATATTTATTTATGGCTCAATGTATTTAGCAATATCATAAACCTACGTCGCTTTCAATGCTAAATGAACGTAATTTTTTTATATTTTTTTCATAATAAATTAATAAAATAATCTATTTTTAAAGACTATATATATTAAATAATTAATTTCTTTACACAGAATGTAACATCCCTAATTTATTATCGATTCTAGTTCATACAGCCACGACGCAATTGTCCATGTTTCTGATAATGACCTCAAACAAATGTATACACATATATATATGTATATCGTATCATATATGTAAAGATAAACTTGTATTCAATAGACTTAGACACCGAATGTGTCGAATATTTGACTATACGTCTAGTCTCGACTCTTAATCTATAGTTCTATACATATAAATAAAATTAGATTGTCTGTTTGTAATATTGAAGTAACCGTTTTTTATTACCAGCATACACCAAAATAACATTTTTTACAATTTTGTCTATCCGTCTGTTTGTTCCGGCTAATCACTAAAATGGCTGGACCGCTTATCAAATAAGGAGTAACTTAGGCTACTTTCATTTTCGAAAAATTCTTTCATTTTAGAAAAGAAAAGAAATTCTACGCGGACGAAGTCGCGGGTAGGTACAGCTAGTGTTCTATATAATTAACTAGCTTCTGGCATTGACTCTGGGTAACCATGATTGAAATGAATCCATTTCATTTAATTGTACAAATTTAACTAGGGATGATCTATATTCATCGATGTTATGAAAACATCACTATTTATTGGAAAAATAGCGATGTGTGTCTTAGATAACATCGACCTAAAAATGAAAGCCCAAGTGATTATGTGGCAAAAAAAATGTAGATCAGTGGGCCGTCGGAAAAAAACAATTGTGGTCTATAAAACAAGAACGCAGATATTTTAATGCCTAATTAATGATTTATTTTATCGATATATCTTTTAGTCCGCTGTCTTCATTTGATATCAAATAAATAGAAATTCCAACAGCCATAAATATATTGAATTATGTTTCATTAATGTTATATAGAGAACGAAGCCCTTAAAATAAAAATATAATACTTTTGGATTACGCGCTCTCTATGGAAAAGTATTTGTATTGAGTCACATTGTAGTGGTCCATAAGTTTGTCAACAGCAAATGTAATAATTTAAATGAGTCTTTGATTATACAAAAACCCACGCAATTATATAATCACGAAAATTAATAGATTCTTTCATTTTCTGCACGGTCAACACTACACCTTTACATTTTATTTTTATTGTCTATGCATGTCTACTTAATAGAAAATCTTTGGAAAATACACATGTCTTTACATAACGAATAACCGCAAATACTTTAAATGATAAATCTGTTGTTGCAGGAGCACGCGTTCGAATCAAGTCAGAAATACAAGGAGGGCAAGTTCATAATCGAACTGGCGCATATGGTGAAGGAGAACGGGTGGGACTAGGCGGCGGTCCGCGGCCGCCTACGGCTCGCGGGCCACAGCGGACCGCTCGGCGCTCGCTCCCACTCCTCGTGAAGGCTCCCAGCCATGGCGCCACTCACCGCCCCTGACTATCCAATGCGTCAATTACTCCGCTCGAAACACGAAGCGGCACCGTGCAGAGTGAAAACATTGGACAAATTTGCACCATGAGTGTTCTTTCACGGCTATAACTGAACGGGCTACGCGGTCTTCTCTGTGAACGGAAAGATGAACGCTCGCCGCCGGCTGGAGCCTTCGTGATGAAGTGTCAGGCGAGTGCAATTGTAAAACTCGCCTTTGTGTAATGCCCTCAATTGTGTGATGCGAATGGACGTTGTTACTTCCACACCGAGGGCAGTATTAGTATCATCACGGATGCGTAAATCGGACAGGTTCGATGACTACTATTTTTGTCAAACTAATTATTATTGGGAGATTGAACCTGACCGATTTATTCAGCGTATGCTCGAGTGTTCCGCGACAACCAAAGTGAGGGTATAGCCTTATGTGCTCTTTACGTACTTTAGTCGGCTTCAGCGCTTGAGCACCGCCAGTCAACGCATGTTATTATTGTTATAGATAAGGTACCGATCTCAACCGCCCCTCGTGTGGGGCTTATGGGCTTAGAATTTATACTAATTTTAGTTTGAAACGATTTAGTTTCGGCCGGTGTGCCGCACGGCCACTCGCCTCGCGGCCGGCGCTGGTACATCGTAAGTTCTTAGTTTTTTTTTTATATTATGTACTATGCAATGTACTGTATTGAGAGAACACTAATACTTTCTCTTGTCCCCTTTAACCTGTGATAAGTATGTTAGTATAGAATTTTAAATTTCTTGAACGGTATTTTCAAGAAGTTGCTCAGAGAGGTCAGATGTATGTTCCTAATGATTTCAGCTGTACAATTTGCTTTTTAATTTTGTGAGGTAACTAGTCGAAACGTGGACGCGTTCTGGGAGACCCCTTAAATTATATTTTATTTTGCGCCTGATGTATTGATTATTTTTTTTTAGTTTAGTTTAATTGAACATTTCGACTATTCCTCTCGACCCTCTGGACCCTCGGTACAGTTTGAATCGAAATTTTCGTTGCGTATTTCTTGGGCAAGTGATTAGTTGGTAATTTGACAGAGTGGAGATTTTCCGTGGACATATATTTGGGCGATGGAAGGAGTATCGGACAGTTTTATTATTCATTTATTGTTTCTATTATAATGTAATAATTATTAGGACGTTTATCAATATATTTTAACCGCATGGTACTTCATTTGTAATTGTAAACGTATGTTAATGAATTGCATGAGCTTTGACTATATTATATGTGCGTCAAAAAATCGAGCCGCTGTGTACGAAGCCATATAGTACGAAGTGATTCTGTTCCCCGTATAAGTGCGGTCACACATTATACGGTTCAGTCGGACGATTGTCCTGTGCGAATGTACGTTGTGAATGGCGCGTTTCCAAAGTGTTGGTGTAGTGCCCAAGGCGTCCGACTGAATCGAATAATGTGAGACCATCGTAAGGTACACAGAGAATTTAATGAACGTCCGATTTCGATATGGAATACATTTTTATCGTATTCTCTTATCTACGCAATGAAGAACTTCTGCCGTCGCATACTACTTTATCAAGAGCGTAAATAACTGCCACTAGCATAAATACGTTTGTAATATACATAATAATGTAATACAAATTCATCGTAAGTGTCGATCGTTTGATGTTGAAAAATGTTTATTTTTACAATGAATAATAAATCTTAAAAATGCTACATTTAGACTTGGATTTGTTTAGAATGTAAGACATTCGTCTGTTACATACTTTTTAGACTTACTCCAGTTTTTGATTCACATCTACAGGGCGTTTGTTATATCATCGACAAGGGAGTGAATGTGTTGTGCATACATTTTGCTTGCGTGGACATCAAACTGACGGTAGTTGCGGCCGGAAAACTGGACAAGAAAGACGTATTTGTGACATTAAAACGGATCGTTACACCGGTAACCATCGACACCAAAGTTCTTGATTGTAGTACTCAAATGTGTAAATACAAACATGGGGGTGTTATTTTTGTATCTATATTGATAAATATTTTTCTACGACGCTACATGCGAATATGTATCTATTGTCTACGTACACGAGATCTCAAATTAAATATTTCATATCAAAAATAATTAAAATACTTATTGTAAACAAAAGCACACCTCCATCTTTAACGTTTCAAAACAAATTATCGTGCATTATGTGAGGAAACAGATACGTCTTTTTAATAACATATTCTGTGTAATATGATAAGGTTAATCGATAAAACGCATTGCAAGTTCACTTGTCTGTTTAATGTAATCGTATTAACTGTTATCATAGGGTTAAAATGTTAAGGATTTCTGGTGCACAATGTTCAATGAAAATTAACAAAGAACCCCAATAATATTAAAAAAACAAAGTTATACTCGCTGTTATATGTATTTTATGAACATTAGTTAAGTAAGGCAGGTGAACATAATAATTAAATCCAAGGAGAGTGTAAATCGTTGTTTTCGTAAGAGCTCTTTCAGACTAGCGATAGAGGCTAGCCGAAAGACAAAGTACAATTCGAAATATCATTAGTATAAGTAGAAACGTATGAAATTGACACATATTGACTTAAGCTACCGAAGCTAATTTCGAGCTTGTAAAAATCACGAACAATTCGGATATATTAGTGATATTAGAGAGACGTACTTTGTCTATGATGAAACGGGTGACTCGCCACATTGGTTGCTTGGCAACCGGCGCTAGTTTGTAAGAATTATTTATAAATAACTCGACGATTTACATGTTACTCCTTATATCACATTACGAGAGATTCAGGAATAGTGCTCATGACATTTTCATCGTGAACATTATGCAACATAATCAAAACTTATTGAGATTGTCACAGTAGTTTAGATTTAACACTCTTAGACCTACGATTTATCTTGATCTTTGATGCCGTTCAACTTGAAAAGTTATACATAAAATATACTTATAATATGATAATAATGTGAGAAAAAATATAAAAAAAAACATGCTAGATTTCTGTGAGGCATAATTAAAGTATTTTTCTACTTGATCGTTTAGGGATGCTGTTAGATATTTTTGGACCATTGTTAAGATAAAACTATGATCAGTATTCGTGGAGTGAGCATAAAGAATAAATGTTAGTTTTTCTTGGATGTCGGTTTGTGGTTGTTGTTGAGATTAGAGAGAAAAACGCTTTTCTAGCTCTATAATATGCACCCGTACACTTTAACTGAACTCCCTGTTGTTTCTACGCGATGGTATTAATATCAAGTGTAAATTTGTCTATTAACATTCTATTTTTAAATTTCACGAAACTGTAATTTGAAAAAAGAAGTACAACTATACTTTCAAATGACAATTTTCCCGCGTAATAAATTATTTATAGATTCAATGTAATCAATCGATCGATTGAGAAACGTCCTTAGCACCATCTCTTGGAAACATCAGGGGAGCATGGTCTTGGAGTGTTAACTGACGACCAAGATGACAGCGTATATTATATGAATGGTGCATTTCAGTACATGTACTTTTGGCATATTTTAAAATATAAGGTATCCCGTTAGGTGTTTACCAAGAAACCGCTTAATATTTTTGTATTTTCCTAGTATATAACGAAACATTATAAATTCGTGGTGTCTTCTAACGATTGTGTATGCATTATGCTATAGATGAGTATTTCGTAAACATTTGGTTGAAATAATAAGTGCGTAATAAAACACTTTTCGTATTAAACACTTGTATTTTTTATTAATTTTACCTTAAATAGAATAATATATGTACATATTACGGGTACCTATCTATTAGGTTTAGACTATTTTTCAAGTCAAATCGTTACACACTTCATTTGAAATATAAATTAATATCTATACATTTTACAACTAAAAACTAAAATGAATGCGACGCCCACATATAATGGGATAATATACTATTATATAAATTAATCAATAAATACAATATTGCTCTATTGACTAGATCATTATTAAAAGCGAGTCCATACTGACATTCTGCTAATAAAATTGCTAAACATTGTGGAATATTACAGGGAACAATGGTAATGTAGTTATTAACTGGCTTATCGACCATATTAGACCACTTGGTTGTTTCATTTGCTTTTGTTTAAGTGCGATAGAACTCCATACTTTTATATATGAATTTTAATATGATAATACTTATATGGTGGAATATTTTTTATTAGAATAAATCTAATGTACATTTTGGTTTTTAGCTGTAAAAAAGTACCATTGAGGCTGTAGCATAAAATGTTTTCATAAATTAAAATGTTAATAGGCAAAGGAAACTAATTGAAGGGATATTGCATTATCATGAAGTTGAGAGATTATTAAATGACCTGTATAACTATGTCTAATAAAGTATATATTTCAATACAATATGCACATAAATCAAAGACATTTGGCAACAATGAACAAAAAAACTAAGAGATTTACTTAAGTTGCAGTCTATCATATACATATACATATATCACATACATATAAAAATCCGGTACATTTTAACAATCAAAAGCAAAAATTCGGCATTTAATATCGTAAAATGAAAAATAATCATTTTCATTGCTTATATGGACATTGGAGCCACTGTGTTACAATACTATGGGATCAATGTTGCGTTTACAATTAGATAATTAAATAAAATCACTTTGTAACGAATTTATGTAATAACCTCATAAAAAACTATTTTACAATCTGTTATGGACTACGAAGTGTCATTACGTTTCTTTCGTCGCTTCCTACTCTTCCTGTCGTTACCATTTTGTTCGACATTCTCCATCTTGGTGAATATATAAGACACTGGTTGCGCCAACATCTCGTCTGCACTAATATGTTTGCCTGTTATGAAACCTGTTTGCTCGTTCAAAATTAATTCAGTGTCATCAAAATCGTTTATTTTAATCTTGATTTTAGGTGTCGAATCATTAGGATCCATCGCCAGTTGGGCGTCAGGCAGTGTTGGTAATTGTTTGAAGAACATCTGCAAACAAGAGAAATATAATCTTATTAATATTATAAACGCGCAAGTTTATGAGTATGAATAGATGTTTGTTACTCTTTCATGCAAAAAGTACTGAACGGATTTTGATGTAACTTTACAGTAATAAAGTTTATACATCAGAGTAACATATAGGCTATAAATTTCACGCGGGTGAAACCGAAGGCACAACTAGTAAATAATATACCTTATCATCTGTTATCTCGTAAGCATTGCCATCTGTACAAGATTTTTTTATGTATGCTAAAGGAATGGTACCCCGCCTGCGAGAACGGTATACGCTGGCGAGGTACCAGTAGAGGATGATGAGATGATATGATGCGCCTGATGTCGTATCCGTTAACCCATCGTGGAAAAAATACTAGAAACTTATTACGATGGTTTCCAGTAGTAACTGCATAGAGGTCTACCTGACAATCTCTACTAATGAAATCAGTTCACATTAGTAACAATTCCCTTCCTCCAACATTTAGATATTTACAATATAATAACCAATATCACAGATCACGATAGTTTGTCTGACAGTCTATTTGTTACATTTGTAATGCATTTGAAGATAGAGTGTCATGAGGCTCTTTTATCTCAAAAACAAATAAACGAAGTCGCGGGTAACAGCAAGTACGATATATACAAGCTTCTCAATTTAACAGAAGGCTGGCTCTAAAACTCATGTCATGTCAACTCATGATGTCAGCCCGAGTCAATGGTGGTAAATGGGGAAGAAAAGTTATGGAGTGGAGGCCCCATATGGGACGACGGAGTATCGGACGCCCCTCCTGCAGATGAACCTACGACATCAATAAGGTGAGAGAGGTTGGACGGTGGGGAAAAAATTATAATATAAAATATTGACGTCCATAAGCGGCTGAACTGTCCTACATGAATAAATGATTTTTGTATTTCGGAAGATCGCACATGGTGGGAGTTATTGGGAAAGCCCTATATCCAACAATGGATAGATACGGGCTGAACTGATGATGATGATTAAGATGATGGCCCTAATTATGAAGATAATAATGAGATATAACTTACTCTGCGTGTCATTAAAATCATCCCGTGAACTTTCCTCATATGATTTTTTAACACTGACATTCGGGGATATCTGAAAATATAAACAAGATATACTATTATATTATTAGTCCACATTACTAAGAATCCCCTTTTGCCACTGACCGTCCATAATACAAACGCAAAAACGTCTTCAAGTTAATTCACCTGTACCGTACATCTCTCAGTCGGTGTAGCTAGTGAGTAATGCCGGCTACCAAGGTTATGTTATTATAATGAGAGGTTGCCGTACTATAAGTACGAGCCCCATCCTGTCCTCGAAAGCGACAGCGTCAGGCTCTACTGGGACCGATCCATCATCACGGACAGGACCGTTCTTGCGAACAAACCTGATACCGTGGTGATGGATCGGGCACTCTCGAGGGTGTTTTTAGTGGACATCACCATACCGCATGACGTGAACCTCGTGAAAGCCGAAACTGAGAAAAAGAGAAAATATCTCGACCTGGCTCACGAGGTGACCGAAATGTGGGGGGTGGTGTCCACCGAAATCATTCCAATCGTTATATCGGTGAACGGTCTTATCCCAACCAGTCTGGAGCAACATCTCAGACGGTTGGGATTCCGAGGCGGCTCACTCCCGGGAAAGATGCAGAAAGCGGTGCTTTTAGATTCTGCCCGCATTGTACGCCGGTTTCTCTCCCTGGGGCCCTGAACCCCGGCCGACTGTGCTTCTGCCGGGGGTAAGTTGCCATCTCCTCTCCTTAAGTAACCCCAGACAATTCATATAGCCCAATCTAATGACTACCTAAGCAGAGCTTGTATTATTATGTATATAAGTGTTCGTATCAGTTTAGTATAAACTGATACAAACACATATACATTTATGTAAATACATACTATTATATAGAAAACATCCAGAACAATGCAAACAAATGTACTCATGAATACAAATATTTATACTGTGCGAGGTATCGAACCCGAGATCATTGAAAGTGCTTGTATTACGGATATTAAACTCATGCAAATACTTAAATATATTTTTAAATATGTACACCCTTATATATAGAAAACTCATGAAAACAAATGTTTGTGACGTGCGAGGAATCGAACCCGCGACCATCGGAAGTGAAGCGGCGTGCTGAACCGCAAAACCACCAGGCCAATTGTACCTTCTAGGACACAGCTGGCAGGCGCAGGGCGGCGGCAGTTGCAGGTGTACGCGGCGCTGATGCAGTCTCAGAGCCGCGCGGGTGGCGTAGCGCCGGGGACACGACTCGCACGCGAAACGGGGCTCCGCTACATACCAAACACATACTCTTAGATAGATAGATAAAACATTTATTGCCACCATCAAATTGCAAAGAATACACAAAACAAAAAAAAACATACAAAGCTATATCAGCAACAGCTCAATGAGGTGAACCTATACAGCGCTGGTTTTCAGTCAGCACCCATTAGTCGTTAAAAAGAACATCACAGACATGTGGGTTTATCAAATTTACAGTCACTATACATATATTACTCTTTGAATACTATTGAAGATACTAAAATACAAGGTATTTACTCAATCTTCGATTTTCGCAAGAACGCAATAATATAAGAATATGCAAAGTAGTAGTAGTAGTAGGTTAATAATACTATTATTATTGTAGGTTAACACCTATATAACAAACGGCCTACCTAAACCTATATATCCGGCTCGAAGGACTAAAAATGTTTTTAATTGGTAATTATAATATGAAAATCCCCTCTACTGCGGCTCAATTGCCATAAAATAGAGAAGTAAAAAACAATACTCACGTAGATGTGTGTCCATATGCGTCACGAGATTTGTTTTTGTAACGAACTCTCGTTTACAGTGATCGCATGTATACTTGATATTGCTATGCTTCGCTATATGCCGCTGCAATAAAATATTTATTACAAAATGACTAAAAACAATAAAAATTATATCTTAATTTTAACAGCATATACGTTATATATTTTTTTTGTTCATAAACAAAAAGAAAATCACTTTGTTTAAAATCAAATCAAAATATCTTTATTCAGGTCTATTACAGACTCTTATAATATGTCAAAATCTACCGTCAAGTCGGAGTCCATTCAAGTTAAGAAGAACTAACAAGAAAGTTATTATTTTCAAATGAGCTCGTACATGTTTACAAAAATACAGATTTTTAAATTCAAATTAGCGAGGATACAATGATCACAAGCAAATGCCATTGCAATTTTGTCAAAAGGAAATAGTCTAATCAGTAGCCGTAACCATTAGAAAAAGAAACTATAATATAATGTACGATAATTGTAAAAATAAACTGTATATGTGTAAAGCTTGTAAATAAATTTAAAAAAACGAATACTAGTAGTATAAAACTAACCCTAAGAGCAGAGGGGCCGGTATAGGCGGCCGGACAGGAGTGGCATCTGTAGGGTCGCTCACCGCGGTGCAGATGTTCGTGCGATCTCAAGTTAAACTTACTGTTGAACACCGCTGGACACAAGTTGCATGGATACCTGAAAACCACATTAACTTCTATTTAATATTGGCGTCCTTGGTGGTCCAGCAGTTTCCGGCGGTACTCCGTTTCATTTCCGATGGTCGCAGGTTCGATTCCTCGCACGGTACAAATATTTGTATTCATGAGTATGGCTGTTTGTATCGGTCTCGGTTTTTTAAGTATATTAAGTATGAATTTATAAAAAATGTATCTATTTATTTATATCAATTGTCTACTACCCATAACACAAGCTCTAAACAGAGCTTGTTTTATGGGTACTTGGGACTTGGGACTACATGGCACAGTCGTGAGATATTAAAATAAAAAAAAGTGCAGTTGATTGCAGTACAGACTTGTTATATGTAAAAACCACAGATTAATATCTATTTAATAATGGTATATAATTAAAGCACAAATGGAACTGCATTGCAACACAGACATGTGCTGAGCTAATGTATGTATTATGTTAAAAATACCTTCATAGCTCTTATCCCAGATGGGGTAAACAGAGTCTAGTGTCAATATCCTAGTGAACTAACCACCTAACATGACCAGATGTTCTGTAGAGGATATACATATTGCGACATGTTTACCCTTGGTTTAAAAAAATGAAAGTATACCAAGTGAAAGTTTCTAGAGTCTTTCTAGAGATCAGAAACATAAAGAAACAAACAAGCTTTTTATTATTAGAATATTTTATATAAGGCGTTATCTAAATACATTTAAGTATGTATGTATTTTAGAATTAAGTTTTCTATTTTTATTGTAGTGGCAGGATTAATATTAAAATAAAGAAGTAATTATATGATATATTGACTCACCGTTTCTGCGAGACTCTGCTGAAAATAAATGAAACTATTTAATTGTATGTACATAATAGAAATAAGTACCTATTTCATTGATTATTATGTGTACATATTATAAAATTCCAGACAAAATAGGTGTTTTATGATCTAGACTAACTAGACTGAATATTTTGTTGTTTTTGAAAAAACTAAACATATAATATTTGTAGAGCTCACTGCACCATGGAAAATAGTACCCAATATAGCCCATACAATAAAAACAAATGTTTTCATAAAAAAAAACAAACTTAACTAATTAAGTAGAAATGGCTTTGTAGCCTTTATATGCGGTTCAAGTGGAAACAAGAAAGATACTAGCGAAATCGCTCTACTACTTTCTGATCTAGGCCTGTCTGGAACTCTTCTTAAGTACGTTCTATACTAAAACGCGTATCTAAAGCTGCACTAGCAGCCTCCTACCAAATTTGAATGGGCAGCGAGAGAAACACAAACGCATTAAAGTAATGTTGACGTTAGTTAGCAAGCAAGTTACGATAAACCTACATCCGAGTCATAAGTCCCGGGAACTGCTCGCAGTTTCCCTGTCAGCGACACGATGGACCAGGCACTCGCACGGTGAATCCATGGAATGTTTTTTTAATGGATGTAATTACATCCAGGTTCACTATTCAATTGAATGGCGCACCTGCCTGCGCTAACGGTATACGCTGGCGAGGCACCAGTGGAGGATGATGAGATGAGCATGAGGTCAGATCAGTTAGACCATCGTGGTAAATTCAACAGTAATTTATCATGATGGTTTCCACAAGGAAACGCGTGGAGGTCAATCTGACATGGTACATTGCTAGAATTGCGGTTATGGGATTGTTGGTAATGTGGATTAATAACCCCAATAATAGTAATCTGGATTAATAACTACTGGGGTTATTAATCCACATTACTAACAATCCAATACCCGCTCATCCATGGAATTAAAAAAAAATGATTCGCATTCTTACGCTTTTTTAGTATCGAATTTAGGTAGGAATGGACGACCGCGCCCCTTGCGGCCGAGGGTGAGGGCGCGAGCCTTCAGCACGATAGTAGCATCAGGTGCGGGACATAGCTTCTCGTGTTTGTATAAATTTGTTGTGCTGAAATGAAAAACACGTTTTTCACATAGGTAACAATTTAATGCTCCTAAAGTATATATTTTGATTTATATTTACCGTAAAAAAAAATAGAAAATAAATTACATAAAAACGTCCTACAGAAAAAATACAACTTATACATTATCAAAAAGTTTATACAACATATTATTATATTAGTTTTTTTTTCTACCAGCTAATTCTGTAAACATTGTTTTGTCCAACTATTTCAACAAGAAATTTTTATAAATTTTGATTCACTGTGTAAGTGACTCAAAATTTATAAAAAATTCTTAAGTAGTTCCAGTTTGCCATAGACAAACAAATGGAAAATATATAACTATGTCATAAATCAAATAAAAATAATTTACATATCTTTGCAGGCATGCAAGTACTTGCATGCTTGTAAAAAGTAAAAAAAAAACGAAATAATTTAAATAAGATTACCTTGATTATTTACTGTAAGTTCCACTTTTATGATAAAAAATACATTTTACTTATATATCTATTTTATACTTATAGTACAATATAGGTATATATTTAACAGATATCCAACCAACCAAATATTTATTTATCTATATATAGAGATTTTGGTAAAAAAAATCATCTGCAACTGCACCTATTGCAGCTGGACCTACCTTCTAAATGTCATGCCACAAGCAAAACAGGTGAGGTAACGTTTCCCATGCTTTTCTTGATAGTGGAGCCAGGCGGCCGGATTTGTTTTAGTGAGAGCTCCACATTTTACACACCTGAATAGAAACAAATATGTAAGTAGAATAAATGTTTTGATTCACAAAGCAAAAGATACTGAGGTTACAACAATGCTATATTTAAAATTATACATATACATATATAATGAAAAGAATGTTATTATAGACTATTATACAGGGTGCATAATAATTACTACACCAACATACAGGATGCATCTTGGTATAGTAATCTTTACATAGTATAAAATGAAGTTGCATCATCTGTTCACTTAGATCTTTTTTGTTAGCCAGTATTCTATAAATTTTTATTGTGAACCAGATTTGAACTTTTTTGCAAGTACAAATCTATAAAAAAAAGTTATTTCTGTTTACATTTCTCATTGATATAAAGAAATAGAAACTAATTTGAGAGACATCTACAATAAGGATGGCACCACAATGATGGCCAATAGGCTTGTCCCACTACCAAGCAGGTTTCAAATATATATTTGGATCCAGTAAAAATGTCAAGTGTTGCATTCAACACATCAAAGTGCCATCTGGGACAACAAGTATTTGTATATTTGTAATTGTATTTAAAATTAACCCTATAATTAATAAATTCAATTTCATAGGCCAAAATATTCTGGTGAATCAAGTTTAAATTAATATTGTATTTAATATGTAACATATTTTATCTATAAGATTTCACCTTTTAGGGCTTTATATCAAAGTCTATTTATTAATTTTATAATTATTATTAATATCAAGCTGTTCCCTGCGACTTTCATTTTCTAAAATAAAAGTAGCCTAAGTTACTTCTTATTACGTCAGCTACCTGCCAATAAAAGTCCCATCAAAATCGGTTCAGCCATTTCAGAGATTAACCGAAACAAACAGACAGACAGACAAAAAATGTTATTTTGGTGTATGTACCATATTTATATTCATATGCATGTAGTATTTCAATGTTACAAACAGACACTACAATTTTATTTATATGTATAGATAAATAGCTTATTATTAATAATAACATTACAACTAAACTTCATGAACATTTAGTTGTATAACATTGTTTACATTTTTTAATTTGAATCCATTTGATTTTGATTTACATTAATGCTAAGCCTGTTGTTGATGTTACTTACTGATACTGCGATTCATTCATTACAAAATAATTTGGAGGTGGTTGTGGTCTTTTAACAACTTTCATAACTTCCACCAATGCGTTAATTAACCCAGCGGAGTCTCGTCGCAACTTTGGAAACTTTTTCCTTAACACATCTACATACGATTTCCACATATCTGGCTTTAATACTCGTATCACGGGTTTTTTACTGTCATCATCACTTTCCAACTCTATATCAGGGTGATAATCCTTATCTTTGCAGTCAGTATCCTCAATTTCTATATCACTAATTACATCATCGTGATCAGATGAAAGTTCTTCCTGCTTTACTACACAAATTGTGTATTCATTTCCCTTTAATTCTAGTTTATTGTTGGATTCCAAACTATGTTCAATCAGAGAATTATTAGGCAATACATATTCTACTTGACCGAACTTCGATGCCACTTCTAAAAGATTCTCCACATCGACAATGTTCTCTGGTTCTTCATCGATAGGTTCCTCTTTAATTTCAAAATCTAATGGAATTTTGGTATTCGCACTTGTAGCTTCCAATTGGTCATCTACTATAACCACAAACAAATCGTCGTCTGATAACATTTTGTGTCTGTTTAAGGTTATTATGAAACCTTACCTATTCGAAATAATTCATTGACCTTATTTAACTGAAAGGATAATTAAAAGTATAGTACAATATGAAATACTACATAAAATAGAATTATTACACAAAACTATAAAAACAAAATAGCCGCCATTTCAATTTTTTCAAAAGAATGAAACAAGCAAAGGCATTCAACATGCATTTATAACTATAAATAGATTAGTTCAACATATAATAAAATTATTGATGTATTTTGAATTCAATTTAAGGGAACGAATAAATTGGTAAATAAAACAGTAGCGATATTTTTGACAAACAAAAATAGTAGAAAGAATAATTACGTGGTAAACACAGCAAAATTCCTTTGCTTTTATATTTATTTTTTTATGACACAATGGCAATGTTGCCAGTCATGATGAAACATATTTTTATGAAATGTGATAGTGTAATAAGCTACATGTGTTTTTTAGCATTATTTAAAAAATGCCAAATTTGACTCAATAATGTAGCTAAATCCCAAATTTGAATATGCTCACACAATTTTTTTTTAATACCTATCTATCGTTTATATTTTTATTTGTTTTTATAATTTGATCTTGGTTTATTTCAAATACACAAAAAAAATCTAAAATAATTGAAAGGTTTTACTGGGTTTTACTTTTAAAATGGCGTTTTCAACTATAGCCGCCCTTCAATGTAATTTACAACAAAGTTTAACACACTGCAAAGGTACAAAAAGTTCTAAAAGTTACAGGCTATTATTTAATTGATTAAGAAACACGAATATCTTTCAGCTGATTGCCAATAGAGAGAGTTGTAACTTCTAGTTGAAGTTGCCTATGTTTCGTTAACACACAACCCAAATTATAATCTAAGTAGAGGAAAGGGATGTCTTACATTTATATACATAATTTACAGTTTTATCTGTACTGTAACTATATCCTGAGTACTGTATTAACATGTAGCAATGTAATATTTGCAGAAAAATAGGACAAATAATTATGCAATAGGATAAGCAATGATATCACAACACATTCCTCATATAGTGCACAATAATGATCTATTAATTTTTATTAAAAAAATAAATTTAATAAAGAACTTGGTTTTTTTTAGAACTTGTCTTAGCAATAGAGCAGTTAAGTAATGATTCAAACAGCTATAAAACTCAATTCATGGAGCTAAAAGCGAAATGTGACAGGTAAATATACATTTTTATACAAGTTTGAATAGCAAAAGCCATTATTTTTATGAAACTGGAATGACAAACATGCAGAGATGTCACCTTATAAATATAGACAAGCATCACCTATATACATGAACATCACCAAACTCAATGGTATTTGACAGGGGGAAAGAGGATTGTTAGTAATCTTGACTAATGATCTAATTGCTAGCAATGTACCAGATCAGGTTGAGCTCCATGCGGTTCCCCCTGAAAACCATTGTGATAAATACTTGGTGAATTTGTCACTTATTTTATCATTAGTGGAAACCGTTAGCACAGATGAATGCTTCATTCCATTATCAGCCATAAAAAAATCTGCTTTCAAGCACAACTTTACTTGTGACATTCTAATGTTTAATCCCTCTCACAATGCATTCCAGCATCTCACCACAGTATGTCACATTTAAGTACTAAATGTCACTGTTTGAATGGAAACTATATCTAAGTTACTTAAAATTAATTACAAATAAATAGTAAGTAAGAATTTACAAAATTTACAATGTTTCTGTTCTCAGTAATACTTGTAGCAGTTCTGAAATACTCAAGAAAGTCATTGCCTCAAAGGATAAAATCATACAGTCTGTTGGTAAGTTTATATTTAATTATAAGTAAACTATTAGGGGTATGAATTTTGGCTCCATTAGAATTGAATGGGGCTAGACCACATAAAGTGTTACAGATAAACTAGTATTCTTATAAAGAATCTATTTTAATTTTAACTGAGGAACATAAATTATCAGTGAATGATATCAATACAAAAATACAATTATTTGATCTCTTTAAAGTCCCTTGAATAAACAGTAATTTTATATAAAAAAACAATAACAATAACACAATATTTTTTCAGCATCAGCATTGACCACATTAAGTGAAACCAAAAATTTTAAGATTTTGAATGAGATATTCAAAATACTTTGTGGAGAAATAGCTGCCTTAACCCCACCAAGTGAAGGAGGATCAGTTAATGTTAAAAAGGAACCAGAGTCTCAGGTATACAGCCCTGAGATTGAAGAAGCAAAGTTAGTTGATAATTCATTTAAAGAGGAGTCTCTTGTGGAGATAGAGGGTACACCAACTGGTCGTAAAAGTCCTATAATACATACTCGTAAACTCAATACCATAGTGAATAAAACAAATTCGTCAGACTATAGAGATAAAAAAAAATGTCCAGATAATTGGTGAGTAGTCAGTTTCTTTATCAAGCCTTATAAAGCTATTTCAAATAAGATTTTAGAAGGTTTCATTAATATTTAAATTTATGGTACCACCATATTTGCTCAGAATTTGCATCGGAAGATAAGAAATAACAATAATATCCTTGGATAATTCAGAGTTGTCTAGTCCCAAGCTAAGCAAAAATTGTGTCATTGTTGTTAAATAACTGATTTAAATACATAGATATGTTTTTTATGTAAATACATACATCTTATGTACATAGAACCAGACAAATACAAACATGCATACTCATGAATACAAATGTTACAAACATTGCAAGGAATCGAAACTGCGACCACTGGCAGTAAAGAGGTGTGCTAAACTGTTAGCTCTTTGGGATACATTTTGTGGTTTATAAAATGTACCGTAACTCTATGTGCCTTTTGGCATAGGCCTCCTCCAGTTCTCTCCATTGAACTCTGTCTTCCGCAATCCTATTCCAGAATGTCATATTTCCAACGTATTCTTTGACATCCTGTCTCTAGGATTCCAAAGAGTCATTAGTTTGCTCCATTTGTTTATTTTGCATCTTAACATAATAAAATTTTAAGAAATCTTTTTACTTACCAGTGTGTTTTTCATGTACATATTATATTAAATTTCGCAGTCACCGTTAACATTCAATAAGAAAATTGTAGTATTTACTTTTATACAGGCATACTCCGGAGAAGAAAAGCATAAAACTTCTCATTCATACGCCAACTAGTAACAAAACTAATGGTAGGTGGAAACAGTCTCGCCTGACGTTAACTACACTGAAACAATGCAATACTGTGGACCTCACTAGTTCTCCAGAGTTCTCTGGCGGTAGCAGAGTGAAAAGCGATACTAAATGCAATGTACAGGTACTATAATCAAATATCATTATATTTCTAGTTCTAAGCTATTCATAAATCATATTTATTTCCCTTAATTTTCGAATTCTAGAGGAAGACTTAACATTCTCCCTCATAGGTCGCTAGTTTCCATAATATCTTGGAGATTTGAATGAACCTAGCCAAAGAGAGTGGAGCGCAATGAAATGCGCCAATACTCCATTAGAGGGAGGGAGAGGATTGCTAGTTTTTATGGATGATAATAGAATAGTGCATCCGCCTGCGCTAACGGTTTACGCTGGCAGAGCACCAATGGAGAATAATATGAGCATGAGATCAGGTCAATTAATCAATTATGGTAAATGCACCATGAATTTATTATGATGGTTTCAAGATGGAAACGCGTGAAGTTCAATCTGACATGATACATTACTTGCAATTTGTTCCTGTATAAGGGTGTATTTATAAGGACCTTTATAACCAAGCGAACTTTTAGAAGTACGAGCATCATACTTATTTACTTATACTCGTTGTTTCAGACTCTTATTAAAAAAGAATCAATTGAAGGTGATGATACCATTCTGCCCTCACCAACAAGCGGACCAACTGACTATACAGCTTTGTATGTATACTTTTATACACCATTTAAACTTCAGACTGTAGTCTTAAAAGTTATTTAGTACCTAAATCATTATTCGTAATTTTTCAATAAAATGATGCTTCATCTTATGGAGAATTGATGAATAATGATTCTAATTTGAATTACGTGTATAAACATTTTGTAATATTTACAAATGCTAGCTTAAAAGTAATTTAATAGTGACCTAAAACCAGTAGTAACTATTTCCATCATCGAAAAAAATTAAAACAAACAATCTTATTAGAGCTCGCTAGTTTTTAGTATGAGTATTCTTGCCGATACATACTATTATAAACTAAAAAGTATAGACTTTTTATTATTAGATCTTCTCTTAGACAATTGTATAAAGTATAGAAACGAAGCAGAATGCGAATTTTATTCTCTGCAAGTATGCTTAGTTTGCTATTGATTCATTAGTGTTGTTTATGAAATTGGTTGATATTCATAGCTTCCTTTATAACAATTTTATTTTATTTCCAGATATAAAATAACTTCTAAAACTAGTCAAACAAAATTCAAAACACCATTGTCACTTGTACGGGACAAATCCGAAAAGAAATCAGAACAATGGAATGTAGAAAATCATTTGGCTAACAACTCTGATGCAACTAATATTGAGAATTCAATTAATTTATTGCAGCCTAATAGGTATTTTAATTTATATTTTTCTACGTATATGTAATATTGCGTGAATTCGGGTAAAAGTTTTAATTTGATAGAAACTGACAATGTACAATAAATGTTTAAACTAAGGCTGCTGTTATACAGTCGGTTATTTGGAGAAGGACGGCGTAGCCAAATAATGGTGGCTACACGTATTTGGTGGGTACACTGTCCATCTCCAAAGAGGGTATAGCAACCCAATGCATCGGAGGCTATCAGAATGTTAGTAGCAGCGGAAAATAACGACTAACCAACTGTATAACAGCAGCCACACCACCTGACGTCTAATCAACTGTGTATCAGCAGCGTAACGGGATATATATTTCTATAGCTATTTATATTTTTAGGACGCCAAATAAATCTAAACGAAGGTCACCAAAGTCCAAATTTGAGGATGAAGACATAACACATTGTGAAACAAATGATAGTATATCACTTCTAGAACACTTGAATAAATTAGAAGGAAACCAAGAGAATATGAAGCGTAATATGCAGTGCAGGTAACATTTCCGTAATCATTATCGTAATTTCATTCTTTTTTGTCTCATATTGAACAGTGACAACCCTAATACCTCCCTTTATAGTTTTATTTTCATTATAGAAAGTATATAAAACGCCTATGTCCTTAGCCAAGCTCCAAAATACCTCTATACCTACAGACAGTTACATTCCCTATAATATTAGTATTGATAAACATTTCTGAATGTATTTTTGTATATCTTATTTAACACTATGATTAAATTAATTCCTATTATGACTATTTTCTTTCAGTCCTCAAAAAAGACCATTAGCTGAGAATAAAAATTTGTTAAATACACCAGAAAAGGACGGACATATAGATTCCAGCATGTCTTTACTACAGTCGGAGATTAAACTGCCAAAAATCGGCTCATTTCAAGACCAAGTTAAAAGGTACACTTTATATTTTACTAGCTATGCTCAGTTTTACCCGCGTTAATTTTCAATATAAAATATAGCCTATGTGTTATTCTGATGTATAAGCTATATTGCTGTAAAGTTTTATCAAAATCCGTTCAGTAGTTTTTGCGTGAAAGAGTCACACATCCATACTTACAAACTTTCGCATTTATAATATTAATTATTAATAAGATAATCAAGATTAAAAAGTTCTGAGTTCTTTATTCTATACAGCGGGTCTACTCTGGAGTCCAATCTTTATATCGATTTCCATCCGGGATTAGATTATTGTACTAATCCAAATAAATCTATAACAATCGATCGTTGGTTACGTTTTTCATTCGCCACGAAAATTATCTACAAATGTAGAGTAGAAATATTGTTGTATTTTTATTACACAGTGTTATCTTACATTATTTATATTGTTAACCGGGTCCTAACACGAATAATATTATGATAAATAAAGATATTTACCTCTCTCCAAGTTTTATTTACCATAAAATTATTCGTGTTAAAACCCGATTAATAAATAATGTATATTAAACACGAAAGATTAAAAATAAATAGTTATCTCTTATAAAATATATTATATTTTTTATAAATTAATATATGCGACCTCGAAACTGTAATTTCAAGTTATTTACTTATTGAAAATAATGTTATTCCTTTCTTTACTTCCCTTCAGACATGTTTAGTTAGTTCTTTTGTTTCTCTAGAAAAACACCAGATCTGGTAAAACCAATATATAAGGAGCCGACTGTAAGAAAAAAAGCTGAAAAACTCGCTTTGCCAGGCTGGAGTTGCAACGAATGCAGAGACGTAAGTATTTTCTTGGCTTTTCACCACAATATCGGTAGTTGACAATGCTTCAAATAATCGTGGTAGTTTGAAGTTAATAAAAGGGGTACAAACAACTAACAATTGTGGTAATTATTTTTTGTTATTTTGTCTATAGGTAGATTGTCTATTCTCTTTATGATCAATATTGATGGAATACTAAAAAATGTTATCTAAATCTTTAGATGTTGATAATTAATACACAGGTTTATTAATTATCAACATCTAAAGTAATAGAATATAGTATATATATGATATAATAAAATATACATGTCTGTTCTCGAAATTATTAATTGAATTTAAATAATTTATTGCAATGACTATGGTAATTATACAAATGTACTTATTGATAGTAGTCCTAATATTCAGTCTAATTGATATGCAAAAATATCTTTGTAATACTCGCAGAGGATACAATGAGTTTGGGAACTTGGGATCCTATAAATGTATAACATTTTCATTCTTCAGTTCTACGACGAACTGTACAGAGATAACCCTGAAATGCTAGCTAAGAAAATGGATGAATGCTCTAAACATCGCGGACGGAACAACCCTGCCCGTCCGAAAACACCCACCGGGTTCTGGAACCCGAGGTGGGATGTACCTGAAGACACCGAAGAATTCAACAGGAGGAACAATGCTGCTTGATACGAAACATCTCAGGACAAGGTTTTTGAAAGTGAACCGAGTAGAGGAAGTAATATAAAATAAATATAATTAAATTGTTAGCAAAAACACAGCTCATATAACACAGGGGTGGTCAACAGGTCGATCGACTATTAGTCCAGTAGATCGTGGCAAGGCAAAAAATATAAATACGAAGACAATCTGGTCTACGTAACGTAATCGTAGAAAAGGTTGGCAATTTCCAACTACAAACTTGATTACGCTAAACTAGTGGAAGATGCTCAGACGCAATACACTAATATATAGATAAATAATTACCTAGTTACTAAGAATAATTTTCACATTTATGTTTTCTCAATAAAATAAAAAAATACTACATGATTGTGTACTGAACTATGCTGTTTCGTTTAAGATTTGAATATGGATGTAATTGGTAGATCGCACAGGGTTTCTATAGTAAACAGGAGATCTTGATCTAATCTAGTTGGCCATATCCCTGATATAATAGATATGATCTGTGTTTTTGCTAACAATTTAATTTTGGTTTAAAAATTAAACTAGTTGTCCCATTTTGATTTTTAATTTCTATGGAACCAAACTTAAGGTATAACCATTAAAATATTTAATTGTAAGAATTTTCCAAGTCAAATTTAATTCTTATGAAGCAGTTCCGATTTTCTTTTGTAAAAGTTATGGAGCTCTCGACCCCCTTCTTTAAGGCGGTTAAATTATGTAACTTTGTGTCTTTGAGTGGAGGATGCATGAAGCTGAACCTTTCGTTAGATAATAATTGAGTGTGACTTTAAAAAGGTTAATTGTAGTAGTCTTGTCTAGAACTAGCTGCTTGTAAAACAAAAATGTGGTTCTTTAATAAATAATTAATCGAAGATTTTTATGAATATCTGATAATTAGCTTATAAATCAAGTGTTGATTTTTCTTGTACTAAATATTACCATCTAAATACGGTGAAAAATGTAGGAATTGTATTCTGTTTTTGCATGTGTGTTATACATCAATACCAGTTGTATGTTTAAATCATTGTTAATGTCTCTTAGTTTATATAAATATAAAAATATTGTATGAGGTACCGAAAAAATCTCATCCGATCTCTTCGATCTGGAATCTCGGATACCATTTCAACGAAGATCAAAAATAAATTGTTTAAGCCGAGTTTCGAACCTTGTACTAAAGTAGTGCCTTTAAACCAAAGCCGTATTTGTCAAACAGAAGTTGGCCTTCAGTCTATGTTTATAGTGTTTTCTGCACTCGACCCCATTTTCATTTGGTGAAGTTGTAACGCCAGCTACGGCAAAGAGCGTAAGTGTAGATAAAAACAAAAGAATGTTAGTATAATTAATAAATAATAGGTAACTAAATTGTCTGTCTGTTTTTCATCTTATTCTGAACCAAGCAACGAATTTTGAAAAAGGACATGATCCTCTTGCAATAAATTATGTTCCAAGTTTCCTCAAATCTCCACGTGTTATCTACATATAGTTCGTCTATCTACATATATATATAAAGAAGGAACAAATGCTCGGCATTTTGCAGTAAAAAAATATAAATGTTTTGTAGCACGCAGTTTTAAATAAACACTTGTGATATGTCATGACAAATGTAAAGTAAACTTCATTGAAATGAGTTCCAACTGCTTTAATAAAACATGTTTACGAACTTGGTCATTGCCTCCTGAGGTCACACATTTTAATTTATACTAATTAGATACTTACCTAAGTTGTTAGTAAGGGCATTTTGTTACTTATTATTCTTGTTGGTCTGTATCAAAGAATATACTACTCGAGAGGTCTATATTGAGCTCAAACATGGTTTGAACGTTATATGACGAGGTGACGTCATATAACGGAACTTTGATTTCATTATCTATTCTAGAAAGATCCAAGGCACAGTGTCTGTACCAATAGCATTTTCACTTGAATGAATCATTTCTGTTTTTATGTTAACACCTGTTGAGTAATTTTTTTTATTTCCATGTGCATTTATTACTTTTTGTTATAGTTATATGAAGGATAATAAATAATATTATAGAAGTTAGCAATGTGATATAAAATATAAGCTCTCTTTGTATTGTAATATTATTTGAATTAAAATATTTTTGATATATAAATGGCATTATTAAATTACTAACCTCGGTATCTTTAAGAGTCATAATTTAATGTAGGTATTCCAAAGAAGCCAGTAGCTTTAATGAAAAATATTAATTTTAGATGAAACATGGGAGTTTGATTGCCTTTATAGTGAACCAACTGCCTGATGGAGCCTATAGATATACTTGAATTGGAATTTCAGTTACTTCAAACCTATTTTATACTAAGAGTACATACGCAAGAATCTACAAACTCTATCCTGTCTCAGTTTTTCCTAACACAAATGGTAATAGTGCAACTATTTATGGACAACGTAGGCGAAGGTTTAAGTATAGCGTCATCACCTACAATGACACACCTATATACTTATTTGTTAAAAATCTAGAATGTTCTAAACATAGTTTTGTATCGATTTGGTAAAAAAATATATACCTACCGACAGAAGAAAGCGTAATTCTCAAGTTAAAGAAACCCAACTTTTAGATTGTTTTATTTCAAAAATTCATATGTCATATATTTAGAGAGTTACTAATGTTTTGTTTGTGGTATGTATTTAACCAATATTAAAATTTAAATCTCCATAAAATAGTTATGAATTTTTGAAACAATTTTTTTAGCTCTGGTGTAAAATTAGTTTTTTAAAATTACAACAATTCCGCTTACTTCAGTAGATATAGCATTTAATATTCAGACAACAACGCTGAGCTTCTTTGCGGGTAGATAGGTCCAGTATAAGCGTGATAGAGCGCTGATACTCGATTCAATCCTTACAAATATTATAAACGCGAAAAGGAACTCTGTCTGTCTGTCTCACTTTCACGCAAAAACTACTGAACTGATTTAAATTAAATTTGTACCATACGTAGTCTAGACCCTGAGAAGGAGCATAGGCTACGTTTTAATGCGAAAAAAGGGTTGTAAGGGGTTGAAAGGAGAAATGAAAGGTTGTACGGAGGTATCGTCATTTTTAAAGCTAGAAGCTTGAGTCTTATTTTTTAGACTGTTGACTAAATATAAATAAACATGACATTCAGAGTTAGTAAAGATTTTACTCGTAGGGGTAAAATAAAAAAGGGGATGAAAGTTTGTATAGAAATTCGTCATTCGTAGTCTATTCCACACTGATGAAGCCGAAGGCTACATAGTTCAGTGCACAATCATCTAGTTCCATATAAAAATACTTTACTACCATGGACGATGCTCACAATATCGTGAACTTACTGTACCAACTTTTATAATTGGTACTGATAAAGTTTTGGTTAAATTCAAGGTATTTATTATCTATTTTATTACCATAGGGCAGCGACGATAACAATAACCTCCTATCAATACCAATATTACCAATAAAAATATGTAAAAAGAACGAACATAATCGAATGACTTCACACAATACAAACCAGCAGGAAATTGGTTAAAAATAAAAACCATTTTACGAACTAATTTAGTTTTACAGTATTCTATTTCTGCTTATAGAAAGAAAAGAAAAACATTGACAACCATTATTAACATACATAGATACACATACATATACATATATGTATAAACACGTACATTCATATGTGACACCTATACGTGCCTATACTTATAATTGAGGGTCTTTATTTCTAGTTAGAGATACTGTGAATCTACTCATGTTACTACCTCTAGTCGTTGCTTACACCATAAATGGATAAAAAGGCCACCGAAGTTCTAAAACAGGATTGTTCAATGCAAACACCTGTCGGCAGATATTTTTATCATTACACTAGCTGTTATCCACGACTTCGTCGGCGTGGATTTTTTTTTACTATTAAAATAAACAATTTCTATGAACAAAGTAACTTAGGCTAAGCTACTTCTTATAATATTAGCTATCTGCGAGTAAAAGTACCGTCAATATTGGAGCACCGGTGGCTCTAACAGACGGACAGGCAGTTAAAATTTTAATAAATTATTTCTTTTATTCTATCCATTTATCCCTATACTTGATAATATTTATATATGTTATTACACCAAACTTAATTGATTATGGGTTAAGGTTGAAGTACCGGTTAAAGCTACTGATAAAGTACTATGATTTGTATTGGATACATCTAATCACATTATTGAATAAGTCTAAATATGAAGGATATATGTTAATATTGAATATGATCTTTGCACAGAATTTCATACGAATCTGTCCAACCATCTAAAGTGTAGTTTAGTGATACTTCATTTTTATGTACTTTGAGATAAGTGGAATAGTGGGATTTTATTTAACACTACAAATAGTAGTACTACTAGTAATAGTAAGTACTATTAATTGTTAGTGTACTGAATCTGTACATATATCACAGCTTTATAATTAAGTACAGTTGCTCAACAAATTATACATTTAGTACAGAATGTATGTCTGTGAATCAGCATTGCTTGCCAACAACTAAAATAACATGACTTGCTAAATCAGTGTGTGGGTGTAAAGTGAACAACAACAAACATTTGGAGAACACCTTTTATTTTTCTCAATAAAACAGAATATTATAATTTTTCACTAGCTTAATATAAAAAGGGACAAGTATATAAAATGAAAGTTGAGGATTAGAATCATTAATTTCAAACTATTGAATATTTTTACAATAAAATAAGGTAGCTTTAGTATTATATATGATATCCGCCCATGGAATTGTGGTGTAACAGCAATTCCCCGATTTCTACAACACTTTTTACTTTTTTTTTGTGATATTTTCCATGTTACTATATAGCTTAAAACATTGTGGTACAAATGAAGGTTTGCATTCATTGAAAAAATAGTTTCATTTACAACCATTTGAACAGAAAATTTATGGTTATCTTGATATACATTAGTATTTTTAATGCTACAACAAATTTACAAATAGCTCTATGAAAGTTTCTTGGCTTTCTGGTAAAGAGTATCAACAACCTTGCTCATATGATGGATGGTCTCCAGGACAGTCTCATAAGTTTTCTCAAGGGGGGACTCGTCGAACACAATAAGGACACCTTCTCCTTGATCCAGGATGCCATTCAGTTTCTTGTCCAAAATCATTTGTGAGAGTTTCTTTTCCACTTGTACAACAGGGAGGCGGATGGAGCGAGCCACATGGTCTACTTGTACTCTCATATAGGGTTCAACAATACGACATAAGTTCTGTTCCAACATTGTGTCATACAGAGCTCCAAGGTGAGCTCGAACAACTGCATCCTCTTCTAATTCTCGTTTGTACGTTTTTAACGCAGCTTGGAAGTCGGCAAGTGATCTCTTGTGAGAGGCAGTTGCTACAGCCCGCATTGCTTCCAGTTCCTTGCCCGCATACTTGAGTGCTGCCTTACTGCCACATATTGTGGAAACTTCTTCTGCCTGACTTAACATAATCTTTGACAGTAACATGTATTTCAATGCTGTTAATGCTTTAGGACTATCAGCTCCATCGTAACCTTCAAATGCTTCATAGAAGTATGAGTAAGCAGTTTTAAAATCGCGCTCATCTGCTGCGTGAAGAATACCTGATTGCAGATCAAGTGCTGCCTGCATTTTAGGAGGACAGTAGATTGCATTTGCTGTGGTTCTAGCGGACGTCAATGAGGCACGGGCTTTAGGCAAATTGCTAAGTGCATGATAAGTTTTACTCTCTAAAAGGAGGACTTCCACTAATAAATTTTTGTCATCTAACTTTTTCAGCTCTCTGAGTAGTGCTGTGGCCAAGTCTAAGGCTTCTATGTACATACCTGTGTCGAAGTAGAGGGCGATCAATCTCGCCTCCAAAGACTGTCGGAGGAATGTGCGACGTTCTTCCTTCGCCCATTCTATGCACTCTTTACACAGCTGAACCTCGATACCGATACCAGCTTCCAAGTCGAGGAAGAAGTCGACCAAAGAACGAACCAATTTGGCAGCTTTCGCTTTGCTTATCAGGCTCAAGAAAGGTCTTGTTGCTTTAATTAGTTCTGCCAATTCCTTAGCTTTGCCTTCTTTCTTATATTTTTCACCGAGATTTAGAATGCCTTGCTCCTTAGCTCTTATGTTTTCTTCGTCATCTTCGGGCACCTCGCCAGTGCTAACCATTTTGTCAGTCATGCGGACGTCTTCCTCTCTGTTCGTTGACGACGACACTCGTGATCTTTCGAATAACATAGCTCCGGCCATGTTGTGTATATTTATATGCTTATACTATAAAAACGTATTGAATAAAAAGCAAAAGCACACTAAATTGTTAAAATTTTTCTTTGTAATTCTGTATAATCGCAAAGTCATCGACGACCCCTTTAGAAACAAATCGTAGACGCGAACCGAGTTGCCAGTTGTAAAATTTCTTATACTACCAATTTGATTTTGAAACCAAGATGGAGTAAATTGCAATGACCTTTTTTTCTATTGATTATTGTATTGAACAAGTAAACATTAGGCTTCATCTACATTAATACTCAAAATTTAACAAGATTGTATTTATAACAATATTTTTTAGTTTATGTTTCCCAAAAAAATATAACAATTTAATATAAAGTATAAAATAAACTACATATATTAAACTATATGTCTATTAACATAAAATTAGACCTGTCTGTTTTATATTAGTGTGAATTTAAAACTATCATCTTTTTATTAAATGTATGTATAATACTTATATCAAAAAAATTCGTCTGTCCATTTTGTCTGAAATAGTTGATCTTGTTCTTTTTTAATCGCAACTATGTTATATACCTTTATATACAAAATGTTTGACGCCAATAAGTAAAAAACCAGATAGATAAATTATTCTAACTTTACATAATGACGAGGCAACTACAATTACAATTATTGTTCTAACCAGCACTATTTAAGCAGTACATAGTAGTATATAATATTGTATAATTAAATATAAGAATTTATAGCTACGTATAGTATATTTTATACGAAGTAATATAACCACTGTATATAATATGAAATAAAATCTTAGCAAGGTTAAGAAGATGAGATATTTAAAGTTATAACTAGATATACAATCTCCTTTGTGTATTTGACTGTCATTGTGTTCAATTTAACGTCATAGATGTATCAAGAACAAAAGTAAAATCAAGTTATTGATAGTAATTACTTTCTAAGTACTCAATATACATATAAATGGAGAAAAAAGATATGGAGGAAGAGGATACAGCATTTTTGTTTGATATATCTAAAGAAATAAAACACATATATGAAACACCAGTAATTTTTTTAACCAAAAAAGATTATTTTGAGAATCTGTTTCATGCAATGTGTACTATACGTTCTGCTCTTCAAACTGATTCTAAGAATCGTATTATTGATGTAATTGTAGATTACCATTTACAATGGTTACACGCTGTTAATGAAATAGAGAATTTCAAAAAGCGTATAAATGATTTGCCTAAAGAAGAAATGTACCAATGTATTAGTTACACTATAGATGCTATGTCGCATCGATTAAAATACTATCAAAAGTATATGGATATGAACCGACCAATGCTTTCTAATTTGGATCAAGCTAATGTAATAGCCGATTTAGAAATAGTCGAAGATATGCACAAAGAAGTTACAGTTTATTTATTAGAAAAATTAAAATGTTTTAGAAACTATGACAGTAATAACGACTTTATATTAAAAGTAAAAGAGGCTGTTGATGAACTTTTAAATTGGTTAGATAAAATTAACGATGAGGTGTCTATTCAGTTAACTAGATATATAAATATGAATGTGCCCCATTTGACTGGTGATTTAACAAAGACATTACGACAAATTGTTGACGAGCTTAAGAGTTCAGATACGCCATCGGGTCATAAAATGTTGGAAGATCTTAAAAGAAAAGGTAGAGAGTTGGAAACAATGATACGTTCAACAGCAGGCCACAGTCTTGAAATAAGCAAAGTCGTTGAAAAGATCAACGTATTAGAAGAGCGTATAAAGCGCCTAGAAGGTGAAACTACTTCAGCTGCGGTTATGGCTTTGAAACATAAGAAAGAGTATTTGGAGAAGCGACTTAATTCTTTGGAAAATTTGAAAACAAGTCTAAAAAGTATTCATAATTTGGCTGATCTTAGGTTAGATGTTTCTGAACAAGATCTGTGCGCATGTGAAGATTATTATCAGCTGAGAATATTTAATCATTTTCTTCCACCGGAGGATCGAGAACGTTTAGTTACAGAACTATGTTATTTGTGGGATTTAGCTGTATTTGGAGATCGCAGTCATAAATCCATAATTTCTATACTGAGTGCCGCTGATATAAAAGAAGAGTACACTGATGATTTAGGTACTTTTTATATTGATGAACATAGCAGAAAAATATACAGAATTCCTGATGACAGTACCCTTTATCAGCCAAATGAACACAATGAACTAGTTCCCATATCAGACGATAGTGAGCATATTTATTTTTATGATGAATGTGGTCGCTATTTTGTCGATGCGAAAAATAGGCAACGAGTTTATAAAGCTCATGCTACTGCTAGCGAATATATGATGGATTCTTCTGGAATTCTTTTAAAAATAAAAGAAGAAAGGGATGGTGTTGTTTACCACTATGATAACTGTGGGCGTTACTATGTAAACAAGGAAGGTAAAAATATTTATCGAGAGGAAAATGCTTTAAGTGAATATGAAAATGACGGTCTTGGTAATCTTGTTCGTATTAGAAGTCATTTAGATATATTTCAACAGTGCCCAGACGATGTTCACGTAACTGAAGATTTTAAGTACTTAAAACAAACTGTCGGAACTGCTTTACGTGAATGTATTGCTGATGTTATTATTCACAATCCTGCAGATCCTATTAAATATTTGTCTCTCCGATTGATGAAATTTAGAGAAAATATGGAACTAAGAGAAAAGAGGTCAAGGGAGAAAGAACAATTAAATATTGAAAGAGAAATTAAATCTGCTGAAGAGCGTGCAGCTGTTGAGAGGGCTGCATTGGAAGCTGCTTTATTGGCTCAAGGTGGTAGTGAAACTAGTTATGACTCTAATTTATTGAAGTACACTTCATTGCATCAAGACGATGCAATGTCACTAGGAGCGAGTTCAAAATAGTGATTGAACCCTTGCTAAAATAATATTCTCGTTATTGCTCATTCATACAGTTTTCAGAAAAATTTGCTTAAGGATAGCATTTTTGTTCTACAAATTATCTAGTACTGTAGTTCACATCTTTAAATAGTTACCTATGTAGTATTATGGACTTTTCGTTTATTAAATATTGTTAGTATTTTTAGTACTTTATTATTTATAATATTCAATTGAAAAGCCTATCTATCTGTTTATGTGGAAGGTTTCATCTTCATCACATGTATGAAACAGTGTTCCATTATGATAGTCACAGATTTTGTTACTACAGAAGCAAATTTACACTAAAAAGAGATATTTTAACATTTTGCTTAGATTATGTAAAAAAATTATCTAATTTCAACTTTAACGGATTTTTTGCAATTACGTACCAACCGTTTCGTGATTGCAATTGTAAACCTTATTGTTCAGCTCGCATGTGTGACTATTAAATGGTTAATTGAAAATTAAAAACCCAACTATTTTAATTCGCTACAATTGAGAATTGGTAATAACATAATTACATAAAAAGTAAACCTGTGCCATCTTTGTGTAAACTACTATTTGTAATGACTACTATTTTTCGACCTTTTTTTCTATGGCTAGACCATTGATAATATATCTGTGGTATTTGACAGCTGGGTGATCTGACAGACGGCCATATTTGTATAATTTGACTTGACGACTGATGATACGAGTCGAGTTTTTGTCGATGACTGGAATTCAGTTGTTGATCTCCTAAGTTATATTTTATAATTAGAATTTTGTAGTTTCTGAAACCAATAAGTTTGCCAACAATAAAATCAGTTCCTTATACTTTTATTGTTTGATGCAAATAGGCAAAAGCTATAAGTGATTCCGAAAACAGTACTGGTGCCTACGTACTTCCTACAATGATTAATCTTTTGGGGCAAGGTTCTTCAGTGTTTTATGTAAATTAGTAGGGTACTGTGACGTATCAACCACCGTATGTTGTCATCACGTGCCAGTGTAAACGCGAAGGCTCGCAGTGAAGGTTTGCTGGGTCGTAGTTCGCATACATAAGTCGTTGGCGTTTCGACGTAAATAATAATCGAGTTCCTTTACGCTTGCGTCTAATGGCCTTTTATATTAGTGAAACTTGGTGATAATTTGTGAAGAAATGGCTCCTAAGCCTCCGCCGCCGCCAGGGCCGCCTCCACCACCTGGACCACCACCTCCTTCATTTGGAGGTGGTTCTAAAGGGGGTTCTGCTGATAATAGAGGTGCCTTGCTAAGTTCCATTAGACAGGGTACAAAGTTGAAAAAAACTGTAACAGTGGACAAAAGTGGACCTTATATACAAGGAAAAGCTTCCAGTGTATCTAGCAGTGGGCCTGCAGTGGGAAATGGTGTCCGTAGTACAGCCATACAGAATGGTGGAGGATCGGCCCCACCAGGGCTGGGAGGTCTCTTTGCTGGTGGTATGCCTAAGTTAAGGCCTACAGGAAAGTTGGCTGGTAAGTTATTTCAGATGTTTTTCATTTCAAAAAATGAGGACTGAATTAATTTGTATTTACAGTCAAATGTATGACGAGTATTGCAGTCTATTCTTTGATATTCATAGTATTATTCATATTTGCAAGAAATGAATACTATTTACCACCAGGTTAATGTCTATACAATATAAGACACAGTTTATCATTTAGATTTTAGCGAGCTTAGTATTATAATTATTATAATAATCTTTATTTACTACTCACAAGTTACACATACGTAAATAATGTTTAAACTTTCACATTATACCTTGTGAGTCTGGAGTCTAAACTAGGTCTATAATAGGAGGCTTATATTTTCATATAAGTATTATATCATCAGGAAGTGTCAAAAGTACTACAAATATATCTATACTTATTTAGTATTGAAAAGACATATTATTTGTTACAATATTAATAATTACAGTGTTTATCTCTAAATATTCATAAATTTATTAATTTCCTTATAAATCACTCATATTTTAAGTCATTTATACTATTCTTATTGTAGTTAAAATATAAAATTATAATTGTATATATGTGGATTTATAATATTAAATTAGTGCAGTGTCCGTTTCTTGTTTGAAGAGTGTAAACACTTTAGTTAATTATTTTAATTGTATTAAGAACTAGATGCACATGTGACTTCATGCGCATGGAATTTAACTTTATTTTTCTAAAATAAATGTAGCCTTATTACATCAGCTACCTGCCAATAAAAGTCTCATCAAAATCGGTCCAGCCATTTCAGACATTAGCCGGCACAAACAGACAGACAGATGAAAATGGTAAAAAATGTTATTTTAGTGTATGTACTGTGTTTATATTCATATGCATGTAGTAAAAAATGATTATTTCAATATTACAAACAGACACTCCAATTTAATATGTATGTATAGAGTACAAGTATTTTTTTCTAATAATTAGTAACTAATTAATTATTAATTAGTAGTAAACATAAGTAGTATGCATAATTGTTATTTAACTGAATAGAACAAGATTTTACAAACTTTTGTGAGCTTCTATCCTTTGCATGTTCATATAAAAGTTCATAGTTAATTTTAATACAATTTCTTGACTATGTTTATGCCAATACTCTTAATTTTATGATATGCTCTTACCCACAACTTTAACTGCTTTTTATAAGTTACAAAAATAGTTTATTTAAGTCCTTAGTATCTTTGCACCAAATATATATAAGATCTGTTTAGTTAAAATGTTAACTTAACAACAACTTTTTTTAGAATATACTACATATTCTGAAAAAGAAATATATGGAGAAATTTTATAATTACTTAAAATTATATAGGTCCAAACATGACATGTTAATTATATTAAGTGAAATTAATTTTTAACAATAAAATAATAAAACCTTTTCCCAAGGTTCATTCTGTAGTTTACAAAAAGTCTCAATACTAGTCTCTGCCTTTTCCCATAGGCCTTCTCCAGCTCTCCATTGAACTCTATTCTAGAGTAGGGGTCTACTCTATACCAAACCCCAACGGTTGATGTTGTCTTTCCAACAATAAAAAAAAAGAACTATATAAATCACAAAGGAAAATATCTAAATGAATATATAATCCTGCAAAAGAAAAAGCATCTTTATTAAAAATTATAATCTGCTATCTGATCGACATAATAACACCACATTATTATCAATACTTACATAAAAAGGGATAATCAAACTTCCATAAAAGAATGTGATATTTTTTTAACTAAATGAATCATGTATGTATTAACCTAAGCAAATAATTCATTTGATGATAAGAATTTTAATACTTTTGATAAGATAAAATTTGTCAGCATTCACTTAGATATACACAAGTCATTTATACTTATTTTCTGATCTGTATGTTATTTCCTTTTTCTATATACATAAATTTGATATTAAAATTGTAACTATAATATCTTATTTTGCATAAAACATATTATATGGCATAGAATTTACAATAAAATAGTTAATATTAAATAAATATATAAACTGGGACAATTACCACAACGCAGTCTAGTCCCATGGCAAGCAGAGTTTGTTTTATGGGTACTAGACAATTGACAAAAATATTTAGATATTCTTTTTGTAAATACATACATAATATACATAGTAAACACCCAGATGAATACAAACAATCATATCATGAATATAAATGTTTGCATCATGCGAGGAATCGAACCCGCGATCATCGGAAGTAAAACGGTGTGCTTGAGCGATAGGATACCGAGGTCGACATTATCTTTCACACAGTCCATCCATCTCTTTTTCGACAGTTCCTTTTAACCACCCACATTCATGTGTAATCGTCGTTAATAGATAATAAAGAAATTTGACATAAACATATTTATGAACCCTGTAGTTGAAAGAAACATTGTAGTTATGAGTATGCATATCAGATCTGATTGTTTTTTTTATATCATATGTCATGTATGTATTTACAACTATTTAAGTAAATCTGGCATTTCTCCAGTACCTCTAGTACGAAGCTTAGTCTATTTTGGGACTAGATAGCACTGTTTGAGTAGTTCAGAGTATTTCTTTTGCGTAAATGGAGTAGCAAACTTACGGTCTACTTGATGTTAACTGGCAACTGTTGCCCAGATACATGAATAGTACCAATTATATCACATTGACATTGGGCTAGGTGGTCTAACGGTTTATCATATCGCTTTACTTCCGAGTTCGAGCCCTCGCACGGTACAAATATTTGTATTCATGAGTATGATTGTTTGTATCGGCCTGGGTGATTTCTATGTATTTACTGTAAGTTTAAAAAAATGTATTTAAGTATATCAATCAGATGTCTAGTACCCATAACACAAGCCCTGCTTAGCTTGGGACTAGAAGGCGCTGTGTTAATTGTTCAGGGACATTATTATTATTATACAACCAGGACATGTCCTATATTGCTATTCCGGACACTTATTTGTCATGCTAAATATCATGAAATTCTAATGCCATATCTTCCCCTTAAACAGAAACACAGCTTACAAATTAAGCTAATTAGCAGCTGAAGTAGATGACAGTACAGACAGTACCTACACTACATAGCTGATTTTTTCCCAAAGACTTCAGCCATATAGTTCTCGTAGCTCAAAGAAACTGATTTTCAATTAATTTGAAAGGAAAAATCACTCTCATGTCAATTAATTAGTAATTTGTGCGATCATTTTGTCAAAGTTTTTAAAACATTCTAAGTTCCTGCTTATCTCCACAGGAACTACACCGAATGGCCAAGTGAAGACTGACGCTCCCCGATACCCACCACCACAACAGTCCCATCAACCACCGAAGTTTTCTCCCGAGAAAACAAGAACACAATTTCCGCCTGCGACTGGCAATGTCAGTTCTTTATCAGCGGCCTTATCAGGAGCTTTAGCAGGACTGAATTCGAGGGAATCTCCTCGAGAGCCGCCACGGGAACCCCCACCTCGGGAGCCTCCATCACGAGACTTCCCGCCACGGGAGCCCCCGCCTGCGAGACCTGTTGTCAGGCGGCAACCTAGTGATAATAGAGCGAGAGGCCCTCCTCCGCAGCCTCCTGTACAGAAGTCACCAATGCCTGCGGTAAGTATTAGTTTATTTAATAAGTACATAAATCATTTTTTTTTAATGATGCTGTTGGCCGCAGCTGACCTTTACCGTTTCAACGCATGAATATCGAGGGCGTAGGTACTCCATACACTTGCCTCATGAATACGACTTGTTTGAGGGCACCGCTTGGGGTTTGAATCTCAACTTAGTTCAATGTAATTTTCATAACTATTTTCTTAATTATTGAATCGTTTAATGGGTATCGTTAAACTCTACCGTTACTGTCCAAGTGCAATTTAAATTAATAATCTTTTATAAACTAATTTATAATGTTCGGTGACACACACCAAACAATATGAAATGTACATACATAGCGCCTGATATATTTATTAAATTATAATTATATGAGTGTTAATCTTTGTGGTTAATATAACAGTTCTTTGTATATTGTTCCTGCTGTCGATATTAAATTGGTCATAAAAATCAATTGTACTTATCTGCTTAATGTACTTAAATGTATTAAGACAGTACTCTGCACCAATATTTAGCTGTAATCGACAATGACAGTATAGAAACGAAAAAGCTTTATTATATTGTGTGGTGACCGAGTATATAATAGATAAGAATAAGAATCATTTATTGCTGACAAATGTATTACAATAGAATTACAATACAATTAGAAAATATATTGAAAGGCTACATAAATAAAGGCGGGGAAACCCGTTTCAGTGCCTGCTGTCAGGATCCTGTACAGCTCTGGTTTTCAACCGGTCCGTTTTATTTCAAATTGAACATAAGGGGCCGTTTAAGTATTACGTAAGCAGATTTGCAATTATTTAATCCCCCATCCCCTTGTCAGCAAAAGTAAGCAAAGCTCTTACCCGCTCCCCCCATGCTTACGTAAACATTTTTCAATTAATGTATTGTGTTTTTAGCAAAGACAACGTGAGGGTTGCCACTTGTGTAAAAAAATAAATAACTACCGATGACGTAATCTCCATCTAGACTCCCCTACTCGCTATGTCATCGAAAATAAGCGAAGTAGAGACCCCAAAGTGCTTACGTAATACTTGAACGGTCCCTAATAAAAAAAAATAAAAAACTAGGTTATCACAACACAAATTAGATAGTTTACTTGATTATTGTTTCTAATATGTCTCACAATATATATAAAATACAAATATTAAAATAGTGATTTATTAGCTGCTCCATCCAACTTCGTGTCACATTTTTCTCGTTTTTGCAAAAATTTTTCATTGCAGCTCTGCTCCTATTTGTCGTAGCGTGATGTTATATAGTCTATAACCTTCCTCGATAAATAGGATATCCAACACTAAAAGATTTTTCAAAATCGGATAGCAGTACATGAGATATGGATGTTCGGTATATATATATATAATATCAGTTCAGCACGTCATTTGTGGTCATCGTTTGCGTAACTAATTATCCAGTTATTATTATTGTCGCCATTAAATTATTAAAAATACCCATACAATTTACAATCAGTTTCTATGCGAATAATTATAATAGAAGAAATTTAATAGAAATAATCTTTATACAAATTATTTATATTTAACCACATTTGAATAGCTTTTTATCACGCTTTTTAATGACGGCCCCCGTCGTTGAACGGTTTACCACACAGCTTTATTTTCGATGATCGCGGGTTCGATTCTTCCTACGGGACATGTATACATATACAAAAAAAATATCTAAGTATATCTATAAGTTGTCTAGTACCCAACACAAACTCTGCTCAGTTTGGGACTAGATGGCGGTGTGTGAATTGGTTAGTGATATTATTATTATTTTTAAACCACACATTCGGAAAGCAGTCTTAGTAAATCAGCCTCAGTTTTACGCAGAAACTACTGAACGAATTGAAAACTTGATAAAACTTTGTAGTAATATAGGTTATACATGAGAATAAAACATAGGCTACGAATTTTATGCGGAAGAAAACGCAGGCACAGCTTTTTTTTTTTAAATGATAATGGATGGTGCACCCGCCTGCGCTAACGGTTGACGCTGGCGGGGCACCAGTGGAGGATGATAAGATGAACATGAAGTCAGATCAGTTAGCCCAACGTGACAAATTCACCGGGAATGTATCTCGATGTTTTCCAGGGGGAACCGCGTGGAGGTCGATCTGACATGGTACATTGCTAGCAATGGGATCATCAGTCCACATTACTAACAATCACCTTCCCCCCAGGCACAGCTATTATAATATACAGGATGTCACGCCGTTATACCCTGTAATTTATTATTTATATTTCGTTTCCTGATTTATCATCATTAATTCAGGTCTACTCTTAGGCAGAATATAGAGGAAAATACTGTTAAATTCACTTAGCGGATGGTAAGTGAATTTAACAGTATTTTCCTATATATTTTTTATACCTCTATTCATCAATAAAGACTGGTGGATTAAATTGGCACAGATTAAAAATCTCTATGGTTCATATATAACACAGATACAAAATACCTCTTCCCACACGTCGATTAAGTGTAAAAATAACCTTAGCGGGGTTGTTTGTTATGGCCACGTGCATGCACGTCGTAAATCTGTACAGCCCGTGGGTGCTTCGCTTTAGGTGGTATATTTATATTAGGCACCTATTATACGACACGTAAACCATAGATTCAGATGCCACAATTGCATATGAAATGCGGTTGTTCCAAGTTTTTTATATCAACTGCGTCAAATTTCCACCGTTTTTTTTTATTATAGGTACCATAGATAACTATACTGCGAAATTCGTCCACAATTCATTTAAATTTTGTGTTCAAATGTCTTTAGGCTTCTGTTGTTTTGTATTTTATAGATTTCGGGTTCGATTTCTCGCACGTTACAAACATTTTGTATTCATGAGTATGGTTGTTTGTGTCGGTCTGGGTGTTTTGTATGTATTTACGAAAAAAAATATATATCTATGTATTTGTATCAGTTATCTAGTACTCATAACACAAACTTTAGCTAGCTTAACTTGGGTCTAGATGGCGCTGTGTGTATTATAGATTATTTTACCCGATGTAGACTGTAAAAGGTATCAGCCAAGCTACATCGGTTTCACCTGCCAAGCAGGTGCTTTGCTTTTTTTGACTTTCTTTGCTAACCTGTGTTTTGGTTATTAGAGCTGAAATAGGTTAGACTGTGAGGTACCCATGTACATGGCCTCCTGTTACAAGTAACCCCCCCCCCCCCTTCCCTTCTTAAATGCTAATAATTTGATCTGTAAATACTATTTAGTACTAATAGAAATGGATGATTGTGTAGTGGGCACCTTACACTCACGTTGGTTTCTCTAATCTCTATTCTTAGATTTCGTCATAAACTCTAACGTGCATAATTTTAAGGTCAAAATGTCTTAATTAATTATTTCATTACATTCTTCTAATGTTTGAAGAATCTTGTCGGATTTTATTTATGCGTATATTCATAATATGGTATGCATATTAATGAAGTTTATTATGAATGGAATATTTGGTGTGTGTCGTTTGTTGTATCATTAATGATTTAGGGAAAATCTTTACAGATTGTTGTAAACATATTAATAGTAATTTGTTGTATGTATTTTAATTTGCGTATTGTACGAACTCGCGTGGCTACATCTTTCATACATGTTTATTTCGCGAAATAACTTACTTTTCAAGCTGTGTTCTAGGGCCGAAGGACGATATATCTCACATCTAGTTTATAGTCATTTATTCATAATACAGTCGTGTTTGAACATAAATAAGTAAGTTTAATCAAACGTTTTAAATTAAAAAATCAACTCTAAAATTTGAACGTTAAAGTATAATACTGTATAAATTTGCATATGCATTTAGAGGATAGCTGTTAATTTAAAATTACATACAGACACTTCAATTTTACTTGTTTGTATACATTCCTATTGTTCAAAATTGTTTCGTATGTATATATTCTTATGCAGTTTATGTACATTTATATATACGAGTCGATTGCGAATTTACAAAGAAAAAAAGAAGACGAGTGAAGTTTGGTCGCCTAATTACTACTACCTAATTATGTACGTATACTTCCAGTCGGAGTATTGTTACAATCGCAACATGGCTGTATAGCCGGTTGCATTAATGTTCCTTTGACCTGAATATTATAAAAATGTTTCGAAATTTCTCGAATACTGCTTGAACACTCATTCTTCGGTTATATGTAGACATTCGCTAACCCATTTATAGCTTTGTGTGGGATGGTCTGCTAAGGCGTTAAAATTTTATAGGATCACCATCCGAAATTTGAATTGAACCGATTTGAACTGGTTTTGCACTTGAGCACCCATTATTGTTTTTCAACCAACATCAAAAAGTGTTTTTTTCCCTCATATTCATCCATCTCCTTTTCTATAATAGAACAGGCAAAGATACTTAGGCCGTACAGTTTGTATACTTTTAAATTTCTTCATATTTGTATAGGTAATGAGGCCAAAGACCAATTCTTATGTATTATTTATTACTAGCTATGCCCGTTGTTTCACCTGCATGTAATTTATTACCTATGTGTTATTCTGATGCATGAGTAATATTATTGTAAATTTTCATCAAAATCCGTTCAATAGTTTTTGCGTGAAAGAGTAACAAACATCCATACTTACAAACTTTCGAGGTTATGTTATTAAGATTGCTTTCATTCGTGTTCAAAATTATTTAAGTCTTGTCCATATCCTTGCATCAACTATTTAAAGTTCTATCGATATAGAGGTAGTGTATAACAACATTAAAAAGATTTCAATAGTAGCAAGAAATGCCTGCCCATAACATTAATTACATCTACCCGCTGCTCTTCAGTTTACCCGTGATCATGACGGTTAAAACACTCCCGAAATATCGATAGAAATAACTTGGTGAGGATCTCGCCATTTATTCTAATTTTACGTAAAGAGGAGTTAATTGATTTGACTGTATTTTATTCTATATTTACACCTGAGAGGATCCAACAGAAATAGGATCTGATTTTTTCTGCATGAATATAGCACACGATTTATCTGTCAAAGTAAGATGGATTGTGATTA